TCTTCATGTGCTTGTTGGCCATCTGAATGTCTTCCTTGGTGAAGTGTCTGTTCATATCCTGTGCCCATTTTTCAATTGGATTATTCTGCAAGGTAGATTTTAACTGCCTGCTTTCTTGTCCTGTTCCCCACTGGGCTGTGGATAACATGTTCTGCACAGCTCAGCACAAGCCAGACATACTAATAAATGTTGTTGTTGACTGCCTTTGAGTGCAACACAACTCATAGTGACCCTATGAACAAAAGGCCTGAAGCCCCTCTACAACTATCGACATTTATCAAAGTTCATAGAGCTTCCAGACTCAAGTGGTTTATTAAGTAGATGCCAATCCTGCTTCAAAATAAATAACTAATAAATATCTGTGGAAAGAACAACTACATTTTTAGTGGTGATGTATTTTTTAAATTTTTTTTTGTCTTTTAACTGTGATTTTAACCACTGTTTACAGAAAGGTTGGTCTTTCATTCACTCACTGATGCACATTTTTCCTCCCTCCAACTCTCTTTACCTTCCCCCCATTCTCTGTGTAATGCATCTCTTGTTTCAGACCGCTATCATACGTAGAATGCCTATTTAGATAAAATCAAATAGACTTAATTTTAAATCACCACCTTTCTTAAGAAAAACATTTTGCCCATTGTTTCTCTCCCTCAGTTAAACTTGACCAAGGATTTTTACCCACTCTCAAGATTACACTTTTTCACAGCAAAGACGTCCTGGTATCCCTGCCTGGTATCAGGATCTTAAGCAGAAGTCAGGCCCTGGTCTAGTTCAACCCAGACCCTGACATCATGTCGCACCCACCAATGAGGCAGGAGTTGTGGTACTCGTCTGTCTGGGCCAGGTAGTCCAGGATCTTCTTGGTGATGCTGTCTGCACACTGGTCAGAGGTTTCATACATACAGTCAGGCTTAGTGACTGGGTGCTTCTCTTTGCGGTAGAAGTCCTGTAAGAGAAGAATGGACCTTCACCGTGGGAGTTCAGTCCACACTCCTCACGTGCCCCACCCTGTTCTCTTCTCCACCTTCCCCCCCCCATCTCTACCTCTTCTTTACTCATATTCCCAGGAGCCAACCCCACAGCCCACCTGCCTGCCTCCCTGATGGGCACAAAGCTCCTGGGATCAGAGGCTGGGCTTGTTCCTCTGGGCATGCCTGGTGTGTGACATACAGGTGGTATTCAAGGAATGTGTAATGACTGAGTAAGTGACAGAACAAATGAATTTTGTAGGATTACAAACATCACAAAGGATGGTCGGGGGTCAGGGTGTGTGTGTGGGGGGATTCTTTTATCTTTTTTTCTCATGTTTCCTTCTTGGCCACTGTTAGCAGAGTGCAGGAGGTAAAAGCAGCTGGTGAAGTGTGGCCAGCAATGGCTGGATGGGCGGCTGGCCCTCACCTCGATGATGGTCAACAGCTTATCATTGCTATTCCAGAGAAGGGTCAGGATGATTCCTCTAAAATGCCTGCAACAAAAGCAATTATGAGATATAATCTCACCCCAGCAACAATAGCAAAATTCAATAGTGCAGCAAACAACAAATGTTGAGGATGTTGTGGAGAGACTGGAACTCTTACTCACTACTGATAGGAATGTAAAATGGTACAGCCACTATCGAAAGCAGTCTGGCTCTTTCTCAAAAAGTTGCATATAGAAATACTATTTGACCCAACAATTTCACTACTGGGAATATATACTCTAAAGTACTCAAACAGATGTATGCTCACCCATGTTTATTGCTGTGTTATTCATACTAGCAAAGAGATGGGGGCAACCCAAGTGCCCATCAACAAAGGAATAGACATAAAAACTATGATGCATTCACACAATGGAATATTGTTATTGTTGTTGTTGTTGTTGTTACATGCTGTTGAGTCGCTTGTGACTCATAGCGACCCTATGTACAACAGCCCTAAACCCTGCTCTATCCTGTGCCAATCACACTGCCTCTGACACACCCATCCCGATTACCCGTCACTGAATCAATCCACCTCATGATGTCCTTCTCCAAGGACCTGTCCCTCCTTACAACATGTCCAAAGTATGCCAGACGAAGCCCCAGAATCCTTGCCTCCAAGGAGCAGCCTGGTTTAACCCTCTCCAGGATGAATTTGTTTGTTTTCATGGTACATTCAATGGAATATTACACAACATTAAAAAATAATGAACACATAAAACATTGTACACATGGGGGAGCCTGGAGTACATTGTGCTGCGTTAAATATCTCAGTCACAAAAGGATAATCACTGCATAACACCACTGTTATAAAATAGGACAGATATGAAGGGGGTTGGAGAGAGAATGAGAAAATAGTGGGTAGATAATGAATACTGCATTAAAACAGGTGAGCAGATGACATTCTATGTATAAAAAGCTGGAAATGAGGTGCATTGTGTGGGTAGGATAGGAGGGGAAGAAAATGTGAAACAATAAAAGAAAAACTAATTAAAAAATAATTACTTGGAGGGGAGCTCTGGTGGCCTAGTGGCAAGGAGTTGCAACTACAATCCCAGAGGCACACGGTTTGAATCCACCAGATGCTCTGCCGGGGAAGGAGGGACAATCTCCTCCTGTACCAGTCAGATCTGATTTGACGGTACACTCACACAAAAATAATAAAATAAAATAAAAAAAATAATTACTTGGAATGCGCATAAGATGAGAGAAACCAAGGGCCCGGGCTCCTCAGTGTGGACAGAATCAGACAAGTCCCCTACAAGCACTCAGCTGCATGGTCAGACTTAGAGTTGGACAGTTCATCTGAGGTCCGGGGATGGTCTTACCTAATATTTATATTTGTCACGTTTCATGTCTCTAAACATGTGTAACAAACCAAGGGCTGAACCCTCGCAAGTTTCCTTCCTCTGCTTTGGCTTCCCTTTGGCCCACCTGATCCTAAGCGTTTCAGCCTCATCACTCTCAGTCATTCTTCACTCTGGAGCCACAATCTTTGCACAAGTTAGTCCTTCTCCAGAAAACACCACGCACTTTCCTCTTGGTTAATGTTATTCTTTCTCAGACGCCGGCTGTGTCTTTGCCTTTTCTCGCTGTTCTGTGTCGCCCCAGTGACCTTTGGTTGATCTGTGTAACTGGCTTATTGCCCCTTCCATCTCACCCAGCTGGCTGTAAAGTCCACAAGGACACTCCAGCACATCCCCTGCGCCTGTCAGGGCCTCAGTACTTATTCAAAGTAGGAAAATATTTCCTATAGATAAAAATCAAATAGCCTCATGGCAACCAAATATTCTCATTGGAAACTTTACCTCCTAGGCATGTATCCCAGGACTTATTTAGCGGATCTATATAGCTGTTGTTGTTAGGTGCCATCAAGTTGAATGTGACTCTGATTAACCCTATGAACAACAGATCTGAACCGTGTCTTTTCCTGTGGCATCTTCACTATTTCTGACACACTCAAGCCCAATGCAGCAGTCGTCGTATCAGTCCATCTCGTTGAGAGTCTCCCTCTCTTTCACTGACCCTTCACCTTTCCAAGCATGGTGTCCCTCTCTAAGGAATAGCCTCTCCTAACAACACACCCAAAGTATGTGAGACAAAGCTTTATCATCCTTGCTTCCAAGGAGCACTCTGGCTGCACCTTCTTCAAGAAATATTTGTTTGTTCTTTCAGCAGTTTATGGGGTATTCCAACACCACAGCTCAAAGGCATGGGTTCTTCTTTTGTCATCCTTATTCAGTGTTCCAGTTCTCTGGGGAACAAGCTGTGACCAAAGGTTTTCTTACTTAGGGAGAGCTGGGGGGTGGGTGTCTCTGTAGGCCATAATAGTTTCCCAGTGTTTTTTTAATTTCTGAGGTTGAAATTCTCCTTGTCTGCTTGAAATGGAGCCATACTAAGTGAATGAGATTTTGTGTGTCATTATACTTGAAACAGAGGAAATGAGGATGGGTAGGGGATTGGCGTGAAAAAATTTACGAAAAGCCAATCTCAGAGGAGTGTGCTGGCACTTTGAAATGCTCAACTTAGAAAATGTGGTGAATGTGTCTATCACGCAACCAATCTAGGTGAAATGGCCTGAAACAAACTGACCTTGACCCTGAACTGTTTCCTTTCCCTTTCCTAGCTGTTCTCCCTTGATGCTTTTGCACCCCCTCCCTTCTTATTTTCTCCTTAGGTAAAGTCAAGTATAGGTGACCCCTCGACCAAAACAACAGGTTAAAATGGAGGTAAAGGAAAGGATGCTGGACACTTACTTAGCCAGAGGAGGTGGCTTCTCCCCAAGTACCTGGTGGAACTTATCCATCCGACTGTGTTTAGAGAACCGGGTGAAGCTGTAAGACCAAAGCAGGTCAGTGCACTGGAGACCGAGGACTGACAGCAAGCAGATGGGAACCTCAGGAGCCCCACCTGGGTCCTGAGGAATGGGTCCACCCACTAGTCCACCTGATTCTTTTCTGAGCCTGAGCATTTCAAGATACCGTCCTAGTCCTGGTGACTCTGACGGCACCTTTATTGGTAAAGGGACCATCAGCTGATGTAACCAAACCAAATCAACACCACTGATGGGTGGCTCAGAATCAGAAATGTGTAGAGACGCAGGCAAAGTGATATACAAGGCTGCAAAGTTAGCAAATAAAAATGGAACGCTTATCTCAGTGTGAATTTCAGATAAACGTATTCCCAAAGAGGAGTTCCTGGATGGTGAGAACAATGTGACTTCTAGCTCAAAGGTTGATGGTTCAAAACCACCCAGAGACGTCTTGGAAGACAGGCTTGGCATCTGCTTTTGGATGATGACAGCCTTGAAAACTCTCTGGCTTGAGTCAGAAACAACTTGCCTGTGGTGATCTCAATGTCCCAAATGCTGCCTGCGAGAAGGCCTGTATTTTATCTGATACCCCTAAAATTTTCCAGTCAGGCAGAAGTTTCTCTTACTGCCACTTTCACAAAACCATACACTAAACTTTGCTAATTATGGCGTGTAGAACATCCAGAAAGTTACTGCAACTTTGTTGATCCTGTTGCTCACCTTGTATGGAGAGTACAACCAGCTGGAGGCTTAGTTGTGTGTAAAGCAAACATACACTCAGAAAGCCATGAGCCTAAGGGCCCCATAGCAGCTAGAGAACAGAGCACCACCAGGACACCAAGTCGCAGGACTCCTGCAAGTTCCATCATGTCACCCAAGGAAAACTGGCCTCTTCTGTTCCTCTCCCTAACTCATGAGCATGTGGGAGTGTGACAGAGATTCAGATTATCAGCACCATCTGAAACTAGTAATCCCTAGACATGTTCTCAAGATGGGAGGATTGTGTGGAAGACCTCCTCACTTAGCAAGGATGAGCTCGAACTAACGCTGTGCCAGAGTCTGGGAGCTGGAACACAGTCACTGTGCTCTGAGTAGAGACTGGTAAAGCAGTGAAGCCCTCCTCTGGTCTCCACTGACGGGAAACAGATTTAGGGGCTGAGGCAAAGAGATCTAGGGTAGCTCCGATTGGGAAAAGGGTCCAGCCCAGCCCAGTGGTCCTACCTCCCTACTGAGGCGGCACTGACAACAGACAAGGTCTTCTTTGGGGTGCTGCCCTCCCACCGGCGGCCAGATGTTCTTTTTAAGTCTTTGAATGATGAGTGCACAGGATAAAAGACAGGAGGTGAGGATGGGAGGTGAGGATGGGCCCCATAGCACTGGGCCTCCTCCCCATAGGCTGCCCAGAGACCAAAAGCCCACTGACCCTTACTTATCTGTGACCGATCTTTTTCAGAGGAGTAGCCTTTTGATTCGGGATGTCTGAAACCAAATGAAGAGGCATGAGCTTTTGTGAAGTGACCACAAGGGCAATTCAGGCATGAGCACTGCACACCATCTTGGTTAGTCCTTAGCACCACATCAGGGAACCAAGATCCCACAAAATCAAACCCCTTTACCCAAAGAGCTGACATAGCAACCCAGGTGTGTTGGACCCCACAGATGCCCCTTGAAGGCTCAGGACCACAAGTCCAAAAGCACAGCTTCTCTGTGCGCCTGGACCACTCACTGCAGGATCCTCTTGACCACTTCTATCACCGGATCTTCAACCATAGACTTTCCCATGCGGCATGGCTGGGCAAAGGACTCGGGGGTGACCAGGTCCAATTTGGCATCTTCTTCAAGGACTTCTGATGATACCAAGATGTCACTCTCCACCTCTGTGTCAATAATGAGTTGGTCCTGTGGATCAGAAAAGACAAGAAGAGATTGTATGGACCTGTCCAGGGGACATGGGGGCAGACAGGCCTGGTAGCCATTCCAGACCTATCACATGTGAGTCATGTGGCTGGAGACATTGAGCCTCTGTTCCTCTGCTATGTGATGGCGATTACCCTTTCTCCCTTAAATTTTTGTTCATTCATTCATTCATTCATTCAAGGCAGTATGTATGCATGAGCGGCTCCAAAAATGTTTCCTGGATACAAGATTCTGTCTTGTGTTTTGGGCACACAGTGGTGAAGAACTCATTCATATTCTTTGTCCTTTTGGTCTCCAATCAAGGGAAGACACTTAACACATACTTATCCAGATAAATGTTCAACCAAAATTGGGGCCAGTTCCAGCATCTTCTAGGTGATTAGAGTGAGATAGACAGTCGCAGGTCTAAGAGGCCTCCAGGAGCCAGTGTGCGGCACTGTGTTGGCTTATTTGTTGCTGTGATACTGGAACTGATGTCATTGATATTTCAAATGCCAGCAAGATTACCCAGGTGGAGAGGGGTCAGGGACCTTCCAGGCTAGACAGACTAAGAAAGAAATAGGGCTGTTCACCCACTTCTGAAACAAGTAGCCTTTGAAAACCCTAGGAAGAGCACTAGGACATTGCTCAGTATAGGGCCAGAGTAGCCCCTCGGATTAGGAGGCACTCAAAATGCAACTTTGGAAGCAATGCCCTGTGAAAATAAAGTACACCTTGATGCACAGCATAGAGTGGGTCTTTCACCCAAAAAAGTATTCATTTGCTGATGTGGCATCTCAAAATGAGGAGAAACAGCTGCAAGTCTCTATTAATAACTGGAATGTCAGTGTTATTTCATTTCAGATGTGCAGGCTGGATTTTAGAAGAGGCCATGGTACTAGGGAGAGTATAGCTAATGTTAGATGGATCTTGGCAGAAAGCAGAGAATACCAGAAGAATGTCTATCTGTGCTTCATTGACTATGCAAAGGCTTTTGACTGTGTGGACCACAACAAGCTATGGCTGACTTTGAGAAGAATGAGAATCCCAGAACATTTGATTGTGCTAATGCGAAACCTATACTTGGACCAAGAGGCAGTCATCAGAACAGAGCAAGGAGACACTACATGATTCAAAATCAAGAAGGGGGTCCGTCAGGGATGTATTCTGTCTCCATATCTTTTCAATCTGTATGCAGAACAGATCATCCGAGATGCTGGGCTGTATGAGGAAGAATGTGGCATCAAGATTGGTGGAAGAATCATCAACAACCTGTGTTATGCAGATGACACAACCCTGCTTGTTGAAACTGAGGAGGACCTGAAGTGCTTTCTGCAGAAAGTCAAGGACTGCAGCCTTCAAGATAGATTGAAGCTCAATATCAAGAAAACAAAGATTCTCACCACTGGGCCAATTGGCAGCATCAGTATGGATGGTGAAGAGATTAAGATAGTTGACAGTTTTAGTTTGCTTGGTTCCACAATCAACACTCTTGGTAGCAGCAGCCAGGAAATCAAGAGACGAATTGCATTGGGAAAGTCAGCTATGAGGGACCTCTCATGAGTACTGAAGAGCAACGACGTCAGGCTGGAGACTCAGGTGCGCCGGATCCAGACTATAGTCTTTGCAATTATGTGCTATTCATCGGAGAGTTGGACAGTGAGTGAATAAGGATGATAGAAGGAGAATTGATGCTTTTGAGCTGTGATGCTGGAGAAAAGTGTTGAATATACCATGGACTGCTAAGAGAACAAACAGGTTTGTCCTGGAGAGGGTGAAGCCAGAATGCTCCTTGGAGTCAATAATTCTGAAGCTTCATCTGACATACTTTGGGCATGTTGCAAGAAGGGACTGGTCCTAGGAGAGGAACATCATGTTTGGGAGAGTGGAGGAATGGCGCAGAAGAGGAAGACCCTTGATGAGATGGATCAGTTCTGTGACTGGAGTGGTGGGAATGTGTGTGTTTGAGACTGCGAAGTTGGCACAGGATAGAATGGAGTTTAGGGCTCTTGTACATAGGGTCACTATGAGTAGCAAGTGACTCGATGGCACATAACAACAACATACCTATTACATCTATACACTGAAGGAGACAGACTGTGTCAACTTAAGGGGACTCACGTGGCATAGTCCGTAGTGAATTGTATTGTTAGACCAATGACTGTGAGGCTCCAGCAGTTCAAATCCACCAGTGGGACAAAGACGCAGTCTCCTCTGCATTGCGATTTACAGTCTTGGAAACTCAAGAGAGAGTCCCTATGAGTTAGAACTGATTCGTGGTCGTGAGGGAGTGGGCGTTTTGGGCTAAGGGATGTGAGGTTAATACCGAGATGCTAATGAAGCAGGATTCTTAGAAGCACATCTGTAAAGAAAGGTTCTCCCTTATCTGGTTCGGATGAAATACTATCCTGCACATATATGAACAGCCGTATCTAATGGAAAGGAGGTCTTCTCGGGAATGTGGCCTTGTGTATGTATGGACCCTGGAGACATTTCCCCCCAGTCTGCGCACATCTGACTAGGCAGCTTGTGGTCTCAAGACCTCTACTAACAGCCTGCCATACTGGTTGGCTTCCAGCTTATCACCATCCAAAGTCAGTCACCTTTGATCCTGCTTTTACAGGATGCATTTTGGATCCATCCGCGTCTGGAATCAGAAGCGTCCAAAGCCCGCTCTCTGTGACCCTGCTTCTCAACAAAAGCCTTTGGATGTATGTTTCCAAAGTTGGCAGCCTCCGAACCAGCAACCTCAGATCTGGCCTGCTTGCTGGTGATTTGTACACATTAGTGTCCCCGGACGCCACTATAAGCTCATGAGCCACATTTTGGAACTAAATCTCTCTCTGCACATAGACCCATATATAAGCTTCATTGGTTCTGGCTCTCTAAAGAACTCAGCAAGCCTAAGTCAAGGGGTTTGACCTTGATCGCGAGAGTAGAAGAGTAGCTCTGTGGGAGTGGCTTTTTCTAATTTTTTTACCTGTCTGGAGCTTGGGGAATAAAAAGACCATGGTGGAAGAGGGGGCTGGCAAGAAGGCACAGGTAACTTGGTGAGTCAGGGACGGAAAGGAAGGAAGGAAGCTGGGGGGAGGGAGTGAGTGAGGGCTCATGGATGCAGGTAGACAAAGGGGTGGGGGGCAGCTTGAGAGACAAGAGGGTAGGATGAGTTGAGGGCCAGGACATAAGAAGTCTCCTCAGAGCCCTATGCAGGTAAGTGGCTGCTCTTGGGTTAAAATTCAGGTCTGATTCTTCAGTCTTACATCATAAGGCCCCCCCCCCCCAGTAGACCTGAGGTTCACCAAGGGCCTATGAGTCCCCTCGTCTCTTTAGCATGCCAAAACCAGCAATATCAGAACCAAGACACAATAGCTCGAGTTCCCCTTCCCCAAGCCCCCTTCCCCCTTTCCATTTCTTACGGTATTGATCACTTGAGTCACAGACACGACTTCTGATGTGCAGTTGAGGTACCGGATCCTCTGGTTCACTTTGGTGATCCAACTTCGGACCAAGCTGAGGAGGGCACTTGTAGTCACTGCCTAATGAGAACACAGAGAAGATCACAGCCTGAAGAAAAGAGGGGGCACTCCAGGAACCTGGGCAAAGTTAGGGGTCAGGTCCCAGCTAGTTCCTCATCCATTCCCCCGAGGCCTCTCAATTGTAGGGTGAACTACTGGGCTGGCCCTCTCAGGAGCTGTACAGGCCCAACATATCCAGTGATGTGGCCGCTGGGAATTTCACCCTTGGTCTCACAGGTTCATTTCTAGGCACTGAAACCTGCTAGATTCACCGTCCTCGTCTAGAATATGCAGTCCTAAAACATGTCTTTCCAGTTAGAGTCTCTTCCAGCTTTAACAGTGCATGGGGTTGTTTTGTTCTGTTTTGTTTGGGGGAAGGGAAAACTGGCAAAGGCATTTAAGAATAAAACCACCACAGCTTTTATTTTATTTTTTAAATTTATGTGGCCATTTTCAGTACAAGGTCTGATAACACTGCCTACTCCTTCTCGGAGCAGTGTCTTTATAGACCATATCCCCCAAATGCACAGTGTGGACCCACAAAGACCAAATGTCCATCATATCTCTGATGTCTCCTAATCTCATGGTTTTAATTACTGCTCTGTAGGGGTGTTTCAAGTCCATCTCCTCTGTCAACACCAAACAGGCTGACATGCACAAGCTCATGTTGTCGCACGCATGGCTTGTCTGCACCCCACCTACACCCGGGAGCACCCTGGAGGGGACAAGGCAGAAAGATGAATAGCAAGGAAACCAGAGAAAAGAAAACATTTCTGTGTCGGGAGACAGGGCTTCCTCTAGGAGCTGAGTAATCAATCACATTAGATTAACCCTTTGTCCCCTGGTGCTCAGTGGATGGAGGCTCCTCATGGACCAGGAAAGTATAGAGACCTCCCTTCCCCTGCACATCCCACTAGAGTGTAAGGGATCTCAGTGGAGGGACAGGCACATAAACACAGTGAGACGTGTGATGTGATTAAGACTGCTCTCTGTTGACACAAGCATAACAGGGCCACCCATTGTCCATTCTATACTTTGTGGGTCATTTAAACATCTTTTTTAAAAAAAGCATCACTTTTCAAGAAGAAGTAACAAAGGGAAAAAGGAATGTCCTCCTTTCAGTGGCTGTTACAATAAAACCACAACTCAGACTCAGTGGTACAGAAGAAGAAAGACAGGGGTGAGGAAGAGGCATGAGGAAGAGTGGCTGGAATCCTGGCTCTCAGAGTGGAGTGCCAGGCTGAGCTGCTGAGGAAAGCCCGCTGAGGGCAGGAGGGTATGTGGCCCAGGGTCAGAGACAAGCAGGAGTGGCCAAAGGACAAATATACACATCCAGAGACCCAAAGTGCTGGTCAGAGGCGTGGTGGGCATTTACAAAGAACCTCACTTCTCCCAAACTTTGTTCCAATTCAGACTTGTCAGAGTTTATGCATAGAAAACAGAAGTGACCAGTGCGTGCGCTAAGATCCAACGAATCCAACAGGATGAAATTTATGCAGAGTTCAATTCTGACTATGATCTGCTCATGGGGGGAGGGGAGGGCCGTCAAATGAAGCCACACTCTAGGCTCTATGCTAGATAGACTCCACGTGCTTGCTTGGTGGCTGCAGAGGTGCGAGGTGGGGTGGTGTGTAGGAATGGGTGGCTGGTTTCTCACTGTTCCCTTAATTCCTGGGAAGCTTCCCAGGACCAAAGTTCTTTGCATACATCTTGAATGCAGATGTAAATTGGTTATGATTCCAGCATGAAGCATCTTTACTATGTACTGTTTGGAATCTACTGAACACTTACATTTTTCTCTTTTGAGCTGTTACAAATTTCTATCTTGCTTTTAAGTTGCTCCAGAGAAGAATTTAGTTCATCTGCTTGCAAATTGGATTTTGCCACCTAGGAGAGCACAGATTCCAGATGTTGTACCTAGAATACTTCTTTTAGGAAAAAGGTTCTGCAAAGTATGTTATTTGAGAAATGGATGAAGTATTGAGAAACAAAAAAAAAAAAGAAAAAACATGTATATTTTTCTAGAAACTAGATTGATAACCAAAATTGGGGGGAAAAAACCAGTGTGCTTTTTAAACTATATAAAAGAATTTTTGAGAATGGAAGCAAAGTTAATAACAATACTAGAGGCTTAAATGCCTCCTTCCTCTAGGAACACATACTCCTAGCCTCATGTTTCCAAGAAAGATGGCCGCGCTAGGGTTAATAACTGCTACAGGGGGCCAAAGTATGTCAGAGAAGGCTGGGTGTCTTGGGCCTGGTTTTTACAGGTTCATCGAAATTTCATCTGAAATCCCTCCTTCTCTGAAAGTTGGCTTAGAAAGGCAAACGTTGCAGGTTTTGAAGGGCGGGACTGTTCATGCCTACTGAGTGAAGGCAGATAATCAGTATCTGCATGCCTGGAAGGCAGGACAGGAAGAGTGGAACTGTTGATTAGAGAAAAAGCTATAGAAACACGCCAATTACTACTTCTAAAAGTCAAGTTGCTTATTATCTTAAATTTTTCTTTGGTGAAACCAGGTGGCAATCATGCCTTTTTGGGCTCAGCAACAGACATATTCCCCCCAAGCCTCCACTAGGAGGTGCTAATAATCTAGAAACAGAGTAGTTTCTGCTCTGCAATGACTTCATTTGTGGTTTTAAAAAAATTTTTCTTTTATATTTGTTTACTTACAAATATAAAGGTTCATATACATTATGTTTCACACTAGTCTTCATTCATATTGTGTTTTATACAATCATTCCCATTCATTTTGTTTTATAAAATTAATCACCATTGTACTACACCCACCATTACCCTGTCTTTTCAGGTCCCCGCCAGAGAGCTACAAGCAGAAGAAAGACTTTCTCAGCTTCCTGCAAGAACGAGAGCCAACCTGAGACCTCCCTGCACACAAACTGCTTAAGTTGGTGGCCCTGCTCTAGCACCACTCCAGAGACAAAGGAAGACATCAGTCTTTTTCTAAAAAATGTTTTAAACTTTTTACTATTTTTTGTGTGTATACCATCAAATCAGATCTGACTGGTACAGGAGAAAATTGTCCCTCCTTCTCCAGCAGAGCATCTGGTGGATTCAAACTGCTCACCTCTGAGATTGTGGTGCAGTTTCTTGTCTCTAGGCCACCAGAGCTCACCAGAAGACATTAGTCTTCGGGAGAGAAGACACAATCTCTGTAAGACTTTGACTTCTTTCGCTGACCACTCTGCTGTTTACTTTATGCTTTGATCTCATTTTACTTTGAGTTTATTTTTCCTTTGCCTTGCTATGCAATTGGGCCTCTTCTCCAGGGGAGTAATTTTGAGATTTTATTAGTGGGAATTTTAGGCCAAATATGAGAAATCCCTTGTTGTTGTTAATTGCCATTAAGTTGAGTACGACTCATAGTGACTCTATGAACAAAAAGTCCTGAAGCCTTTCCACAACTACCATTATTTCTCCAAGTTCATTGAGTTTCCAAAGGCATGTGGTTTAGGAAGTAGATACCACTCCAGCTTCCAAACCTGTTTTATAACATTGGGAGACCATAATGATATTTAATACCCCAATGAGCAAGGTTCAGCATCATAGCAAACCCAGATTACCTCAGTACAACAAGCTGACAAGGAATGATGTACAAAGTAGAAGAATGTTCCTCCAAATATAACACTAGTCTCACTTAGCAGTGGTTAAGTGTCGTCAAGTCGAATACAACTCATTGAGACCCTATGATCAAAAAACCCGAACTCTGTTCTCTAATTAACATCAGCTTAAAATACACCAGGCAATGTATGTATATCAAAGGACAACTCACTCACTAATTCATTGCCATCAAGTCTGAACTGACTCATAGCTGAACCTCCAGCGGGTTTTCAGAGGCTGTAAATCAAATGGGAGAATCAACTGGGAGAGGACTGCCCATCTTTCTCCTATGAAGTTGCCGGAGGATTTGAACCTTTGGGTTGGCAGTACAACTCCTTGCCACTAAGTCACTAGCACTCCCTCAAAGGACAAAGACGTAGATACATGTTATCACTTTGCTGAAAAACTCAGTGGTTATTAGCCAGCTTATCTGTGGAGTAAGTGGGTTTGGGTGTACAAAATTCTACAGAAATATAATGGCCTATTGGTTAAGAAGCTGTGCTGCAATCCTGAAGGCACCAGTTGCTCTGGAGGAGAAAGACGGGCAATCTTCCCCGGAGTGATTAAAAACTGCCTCTGAAAACCCACCAAGAGGTCAGCTATGGGTCAGTTCTGACTCAACGATACACAACAACAAACCATTTTGATGGTTACACAGCTAGATACACCCTATGGCCTCAATGCCTCCAATCTAGTCTAAAGATAAATACAAAGATGAATAGGACAAGGTAAGGTAAATTAGTGTGTTTCTTCCATTATCCAATCCAAGAACTAAACCAATTATTTGAAATATTGATGAAAACATGAACATGATTATTGAGTTGTGACACTTTGCACTGCAGGAAGAGAACATAATTTAGCAGCACTACCAGGAATACAAACAGAATAATCCATTTTAACAATTACATAGATGCTTCCCTGAGTAGCAGCGAGAATGTCCACAGACATTCCATTTTGAAAAATAACTTTTCTTATCTTACTTATTTCCATATTTCTTGGAATACATGAGCTGGCTTGTTTTATTTCTCTTTATTTCCAGCAAGTTGGAACAAACTCATAGCTGACCCTTTAGCACATTTTGGAGGCTGTAAATTGCACAGGAGGAGAATGCCATCTTTCTCTAGAGGAATGACTTGGGGATTTGAAACGCTAGAGAGCCGATATCTTCGGGTTAACAGTGAACTCCTCACAGATTATGTCACCAGGGATCCCTTAGATAGACAGATACTTACAACAACAATGGTGTTATATTAGAAGAAATATCATAGTTTAGAAAACTGTAGGAATAAAAAGTGCTAATTTTGTACACTTTACCTTTAATTTATATCTCTGTCTCTATCTAATCTCTCTCTATATTTATATCTATATGGTGGGCTAGTGACAAGAGGTGATTTGAGGCCACCAGCTGCTCCGGCAGGAGAATGATGGGCAATCTCCTCCCCTGTGATCAACTGCCTCTGAAAATCCATTGGAGGGTTACACACACACACACACACACACACACACGTGTGTGTGTGTGTATGTTGTTGTTGTTGTTAAGTGCTGTTGAGTCGCAGGTGACTCATAGCGACCCTATAAAGGAAAGTCCTCAACGCTTGGGTGCCTTTCATCCTCTCTCCAGGTTCATAGGGTTTCTGGAGGCAAGGTATTTCGGAAGTGGATGCCACTCCTGCTTCCAAGCTTGTTTTCATCAGGGAGCTCCACCCCACTCTCTGTCCACATTGGGTAACCAACCACTAACGCATTTGACACATCAGTGTCACAGTGTTCAGCCTCACAGCAAACACAAGTTACCACTGTACAGCAACTTGTACACCAGGGCTATACGACCTAGAGAATATGTCTTTCTCTCTCTCTCTGTCTCTCTCTCTCTCCCTCTCTACCTCTACCTGAACCTCTATCATTTCTATCTCTATCTCTATCTAGAGAGAGAAAGAGAAAGAGAGAGAGAGAGATCTAGTGTCTTAGTGGTAAGGAATTAAGCTTCCAATTCAAAGGTACGTGGTGGCTTGAATCCACCAGCTGCTTTGCAAGAGAAAGATGGACATCTCTCATCCCATGTGATATACTGCTGGAAAACCTGCTGAAAGGTCATCTAGGAGTCAGTTCTTATTCAATGATACACAACTATATGTGTGTGTGCGTGTGTGTACACACACACACACACACACATGCACACACACATATACCCACTGGAGGGTCAGCTATGAGTCACTTCTGACTCAACATCAAACAACAATAGATATAAAAGTATAAAATACAATATTAGCAAAGATTTCTTCCAGTTTAATTATAGATTGTTTCCTACCTTTTTTATTTCTTTAATATTTTCCACAATAAAAGTATATCTTATTTATCATCCTTTTATTTGTTAAAAGAGGAAACCACTGTATAAAACACATTCCCCAAGTATCAGCTCTTAGTGTGCCTGTAAAGGGACCTGGGACAGAACCAGCTAGAGGATAACTGGGGACATGCTCCTTAAACAACTGGTGGTCGTGTGCTGGATGCTTGACTCTGCTCCATGTAAGTGGCCCATCTAAGTTACTTCAAGGCTCCACTGTGAGGTACTTTACTTGTACCTCCATGTACAGAGGACTTAATACACATCAGGGACTATGCCACAAGCTTAAATATATTAATTAGCTCTTTAATTCATGCCATAATCCCCTCACTTGGTTTTTATTTCCATTTCACAGATGAGGAAATAGAGGTCTCTGAGAGAATGAAGATGCTTGCATGAGGCCACAGTACAGCTCTGGACCAGAATCCACACCTGTCTGACTCCAGAGCCTGAGATCCTAGTATAGCTCTCGCATTTGAGTGTCTGCCACTCCCAAAGACTGTATCTCATCTGTCCCAGCACCAAGGAGGTCCCTAGAAGAACCACCTTGACCTGATTCCGCTCCCCAGATGCACCCTGAGTTCTGTGCATCCCAGTACCACTCAGTTCTGGTACAGAATTCCCTTATTGAGATCACGATTCTTGCCACTTCACTTTCTTAGCCCTTTTCCTCTGGCACCATCCACCACCCATTAGCCTGACAGCTCTCCTCAAACACAGCTCAAATTTTATGGCTCCAAAGCCCTGACACTGCCACCACCCCAGGAGCCTGTACACCCCAGGCTCTGTTGAGCAGCCCAACTCCAGCCTCACCACGCCCCATGTGCTCTCCTCCTGGCTCCAGCCCCTCTGGATTGCCTTCATAATCCCTCCAGGATACTCTGCTTCTCTCCCCTGCCAGATGGCCCCCACCTCTCCCTTAAGCCTTTTGAGATAACACTCTCCTTGCTTTGGTTCAAGCCTCTCCTCTCACTCATCACTCATGATTCCCCTTTTGTGTCCATGGTAATCTTTGGCCTCAAGTCCAAGCTTCACCATTTAAGAGTTTAGTGTTCTGTCCAACTCACTTAATGATCCTTTGCCTCACTGTATCTCTAAAAACAGATAGAAACAATACTGACCTCAGAGAGTCCTTGTGTAGACTGAAATAACGAATCAAAACATGCTGCTGGGCTTGACGCATAGCCTAGTGTGACTCAGGGAACAGCAGTGGTTGTTTTGGTTCCATTTCTATCTTTCCAGCTCATGTGTAAATGCCTCGGAGTGGAGGTCATGCCTATACACCCAGCAGCCCTCCAGGCAGCGCTTGTCATGCAAGTCGAGTTAAATAAACATTCATATTTGAGGAACAAATCCATCCTACCTCGCTCTTTATGTTTACTTGCAGATTTGTCAGTATCCGATGGATTTTCTCTAGGAAAATGAGGTCCATTGACAGATTATGAAATTTACTTTCAAACTTATTGAAGATCTCATGGGCCTGTATTGGGTGAAAAAGCATAGAAGAGGAGGGCCTAATTTAGAACTTAATTTTAAGACTTTGGAAATGGAGGTGGGAAGGCTAACCTGATAGACGAAAGGAAGAGGCTGACCCTTGCATTTAACATTGAAAAGGTGGCCGACTATCTTGTAGCCCAACATCTTGGGATCCTGGTGACCTAGGGATCGCACCTGGTCCAGGTACTTGCTCTCCATCTTTTCCATTTTGATCATGATTAGACTTTCAACAGATTCTATCCGGGCTGCTTCCTTCTCCAGTCTATTAGACAGGGAGCTGACTTCTTCCTCAGAAAAGTTGCCTCCCTCTGAAAACAACCTGCAAAGTATTTAGAAGAAATAATAGCCACTACCAAGAACCTGAGAGTCTCTACCAAATGCTGAGGCTGTCAAGGTTTTAGACTGAAAAATACAGTATCACAGAAAACTGAATCCAGATAAGCTTCAGTCAGGAGCAAAAATCCAAAGAAGATGTAGACTTTCCATTTCTGCCTGTTTGTCAGATCAGATACTCTGTTAGACCCGACTGGAGAAAATACAAAGTTGGAGAGCATTAAAAATAAAAACCTTTTTCTCTGGGCTGAATAAAGGCGAGAATTCTGCAGAGACCCAGATGAGCAAGGCGTCCTTTGGAATGTAAGTACTACAAAGCTAGACTTTGCCTTGGAGACTTCTTAAGCTTCAGCCTTGATGACAGCACAAGGAGAGAAACAGCATAAGGCTGGAGAAGCCCAGAGGACTATGCTTTTAGTTTGAGGATGAAATAGAAATAGACCACACCAGAGACCAGGATGCTGGACTTTCTAGATCTGAAGATAAGCAAGGTCAGAAATTTCTCCTCCTGAGAATTTATAACTGCAAACTGTTCTTTGAACACACAGCAAACTGAATTCATAGTCTCTTGCATGATCTGAACAAGAACAAGATGAGAATGTGAAATGGTCCGGAGTAGGTAATGTCCCCAAATGCCTAGCACATGCAAGTAAGAATCCTGTCCAGAGGAAATCAACATCAGCCTACCCCCCAAAGAATCACAAGCAGCTCACTGAGGGAGTTGAAGGTGCACAGGGAAATAAAATGCCATGAGTTTAAGTCAGCAGAATAGACCGGAGAAATACACCACTGAGATATTGGAACTACCAGGTGTAGACAATACAACCACTAAGATTAAAATTCTTGAAGAAATAAAACTGAGCTTGAAAATACAAGCAGAGTAAGAAGTTTTAAGAAAGAATCATTATAACTAGAAGTGAAACCTGTAAAGATTAAAAATACTCATCAGGGGTTTAAACACAGCTAAAGAGCTAGTCTATGAATAGGAAGGACAACCTGAAGAAAAGAGCTAGAATGAGGCTAACGTATGAGAGCATGATGCAGTCACAGTGCAGATTACCCAAGCAGCAAGGTACGCAGAAGCTTACTTATGTTCCGTGCTAATCTGTACTGAATGCTGTTTACTTTGCTATCTTGCTTACTAGGCACTGTGTCCTTGTCAGGGACACCGTAAATTATCAAAGAGGCTTCGATTCTGTATAGATGTGCCGTGGTGTTAAGAGAGATGCCAGCCATCCTTAGAAGCACAATCTTTGATGTGGAAAAATACAAAACTGTGCTTACTTTGTGTATTGGGCAATCTCACGCTGCACTGCAATATGGAGGATAGAATGAAGTGATTGATGTATGTCTAATTCTGTTCTAGTTTACATTACGTCCCACATTTTCTATAAAAATTAGATACTACTTTTACAATTAGAAAAATCTAAACAAATACTTGCAGATACCAATATAGAAGGTAAGGTACTTACCAGGAATGCTAGTGTCAGCATGGCAACTAGGAGTTCTTTCACATACAAAGCTGAAGTGCTTTTTTTTTATTTTTACAAATTCACATATGGGGCACATAGAACAACTATGCTTTGAAAACACATTTAGGAAAAGTCATCCACTGTATTAAAAACCCCCTAATTCTGTGATTATGCTATATTGAGCATACAATTAATGATTTTAAAATAATAGTTGTTGTTGTTAAGTGCCATCGAATAGTAGACGACTCATAGCAACCCTGTGAATGAAAGACCTGAGCACTGTTTATAGAGTTTCAGGAGGCAAGCCATTTCTATTAAAAATAGTAGAACCTTTAAAATATATGAATTCAGGCTGTCACTGGCCTAGTCCTTAGGGAGTTGCCCAAAGGCACTGCCTCTCTGTTGGTTTGCATCCACCAGCAGCTCTGAGGAAGAAAGATGGGTAATCCGCTTTTGTGCTATACACAGCCTCAGAACCAATAGAGGGTCAGCGTGCACTGTTGCTCACTCGATGGCAATTTGAGATTTTTGGGGCTTGTCACAAACCCATATTTATTTTCATTTAAGAGTGAGCTTCTGTGGAAGGCAGTATGGCGCTTTCTCAAAAAGTTGTAAGTAGAGATACCATTTGACCCAGCAATTCCACTACTGGGAATATACCCCAAAGAGACCATAACTGACATCCAAGCACATAGATGCACACTGATGTTTATCGCAGCTTTGTTCACAATAGCAAGGAGTTGGAAACAACCTAAGAGCCCATCAACAAACGAATAGATAGAGAAGCTGTGGTATATTCACACAATGGACTACTACGCTGCATTGAAAAACAAGGAACTCATGCAATATTACTCAAAATGGGTGACTCTGGAGGACATTATGCTGAATGAAGTATCTCAGTCACAAAAGGACAAAGTCTGCATGGTGCCACTGTTGCGAAACAGGACTGACCTAGGGGTTGCAGGGAGACTGAGAAATATAGGTTCAATAATGTATACTGCATTGAAACAGATGAGGGAGAAAACTGTTTAAAAGGGATCTGTGACTAGATATTTTTGTCATGACGGGAGTCCAGAGCGAAGGCTGCATAGTGGAGTGGACCTGGGGGAAGGGATTGTAAAGCAATGAAAGAATTTTTTCTTTTACTTTTCCAAGAGGGTAGTGTGCTGGGGGGAGGGTTGGGAAGGGAGAGAGTGCAACAATGAATGGATGGAGGGTAAAAAAAGAGTGAGCTAAGATCACAGAGCAAAAAAAGAAGGGAGAAACCAGCCCAGGTCCCCAGTGAGAACCCTGAGTTTGTGGGGGGCCCTGGAACGCCGGCTCCCACCTGCAGTGCTTGAGGAACTCGATGTTGGTATAGTGGAGCTTGCCCAGACTCTGCTCCAAGTACTGCCGGAAGCTGCGCAGGGACACTTGCATGACGTCCACGTAGCTGAGCAGCTCCTTGTGCAATGTGTTGGAGAGAGTGATCAGCCTGTGGGCACCAAAGGGGCAAGTGGTGACCTGGGTCTGTAAGGTCCTCCCAGGCTCCCCAAGCTCCACATGCCCAGCCCAGCTGTGGGGCCACCAGAACCACTGCTTGGCCCTTCTGGGTAGGAAAGGGAGTATTAGACAGAAGCTCTAAGTGCCAAGGTGTGCTAGAAACAGTCTGTAACTGCCAGCATAGTGAATTGGAGCTCACTCCTCTCTCGTCCCTGCTACTTCTAAACCTTCAGGTCCTACGGGGTCTCTGTTCTCCCTCAGCACTCTCTTCACTGCTCTGCCTTGGCACCTGCATGCTTGTCTTGCCCTGCAAGCACCGATTCTACAATCAAGCCACCCTCACTAGATGTCCCATGTGCAGTCCTTATGATGCCTCCACATTTATTACCCAGTTCCCACACTTGTTATATTCCAGGTGGTCTTCCTGGGGCTCCGTGTTTGCCTGAGTGACTCCTCCCCTAAGCCTGGTCAGCGCTGCTTTTCTGATAGAAGATTCTGACCCCTCCCTGCTGCTGATCTCCATCTGTGCCCCTACTGACCTTGGAGGTCATTTCAAACACCATCCCCTTGCAGGAAGTTCTTTCAGATTTTTCTTAATAGAAAAAGGTCTTTCCTAGCAAGGACCTTTCAGAGTACATGCCATTTGCACCTGTGCACTATAGTTGCAGCCTTGTCTCTATGCAGGCTGCCCCCCACCACCTCCGCATCTGGTGCCGCCCCCAAGTGTCTGACAGAAGTTGTTAAACTCTCTACCAGGGAGGAAGGGCCCATTGGGAAGCTGCTTGCCAGAAATGGCCCGGCCCCTTACTTGTGATTCTTGGTGGCATTCAAGAAGGTGTACTCTATGTCGTAAATCTTGCGCTCAAAGTGTCTGCTCCTCACGAACTGCTCCTCTTGGAACTGGTGGAACATCATCCTCTCCTTCCTTAGCATCTCGACCACCCCAGCACAGTGACTGTCTAAATGCTCTTGATGAAGCAGGAGCTCAGCTGAAAGAGGACGGGGAAATGAGGGGCCTTCTCCGAGTCCTGCGATATGTCAGGCTGTTTATTTCCTGGGAAGATGGTCAACTGGGCTCCTTCTTGGGCAGCTGCAGAGCACAGGCTATTCAAATCAATTCCCTTTCTGCCGTCCCCGCTGCTCTTCACGTCAGGACTTGGCCTGAGAAGGAGCACATATCCCAGGGAGGTACCAGGGTCTGTAACTGGGGAGTGCTCAGAGGACCCTGGCAGTGCAGAAGCCCTGGCTGCAGCAGAAGACAACAAAGCCCAGGGGCAGGAGGGAAGGAAGGAGGATATGGCGGAGGGGCAGTCCAAACTCTGCCAGAAGGTAGTGGTGTGAAAGTCTCTGCGAGGCATAAATGATTTGTACATAATGGGCACCCAAAAGATTTGAGGTTCCAACTCACTGAGCAGCATTGCAGAAGAAAGAGGCCTCACAACCTGCTGCTGTAAAGACTCTACCACCCCCCTCACTATTGTTCGGTCCTTTCCATCATAGCCTAGGAGGACAAAGTAGAACTCAAGGAATTTCCGAAGCTGTATTTACAGAAGCAGATTGCCTCGTCTTGCTTCCACAGCTGCTGGCTTTGAGCTGCCACTTTTAGTTAGGAGTCAAATTCTTTAACCACTCCTCTGCCAGGGCTCCTCTCTGTAAAGCTTATACCCAAGAAAATGCTATGGAGCAGTTCTAGTCTGTCACACATGAGGCCTCTCAGGTCACAAGTCAACAACAAATATGACAGCTGTGACTGTTCCTCCGACTTCTGTCTCTTCCTTTCTGTTGGGCCGCAGAGCCAGTGAAGAAGCACTTAGGGGAAGAGTTCTCCGTCACTAGGGAGCATCGACTCAGTGCACACAGGTCCCCTTGATTCACTAGCACATTGACTATACACCCTGCCCAGATGAGGCCAAGTGTCGGACAACTTGCCCAAGGCCACAGAGCTAGCTGGGGTGGCGTGGGGTTGGGGTGCTGGGATTTGAAGCTTAGTGACTTGCACAGCATTTTCATCATCCCAGGAAGAAGCGAGGTCAGGGATGTAGGGGTCATGTGAAGGCCTCTGCTGGCTCTTAAATTCTGGACTGTGAAGTAAGATGATGTGAAAACCAACATTGGGCTTTGAAAGTGTCCCCTCCACATTAATGATGCCCAATGACTAAGGGAAAAAAGGGAGTATTTTCCATGTACCAAAAATTAAAAAGTGAAAATAAAACAACTGAAGTTATTTGTGGAAGTTGTATCTTTTGCTGGATATTCATGCATTTCTCGGTATCATTTCAAGGAGGATTAATCACGACCAGGTCTTTGCCAGATGAGAGAAGGGTTGACAGAGGCTAGGGCTCCCAGGTGGGACATCTACCTGCCCTGACGTTGTGGATGTCTCTTTCAATGTTCTGGGCTCTGGGCTGGAGCAGATGCAGACGCAGTTCCAGTTCTGACCTCAGGTTCTCAATCTTGGTGGCCACAATGACTTGGGTATTGATGGTGCACTGGTCAAACCATTTCTCGAGGTGGTTGAAAAAGCCAACCCGAAGCCTGAGGGAGAGAGAGACCAGGACTGAGAGGCAGCCCTGCCAGCAGCCAGGCCCACAGATTTTACCACATTTGAACACAGCGAGCATCCTCATTCACAGCTCCAACCCCCGACTACATGATTCGTGTAACCAAGCTCCTGTTGGAGGAGGTGGTCTTAACCTATCTTTTGCTCCTCCAAAAAGGCTGCAATGAAAAACCTTGTGAATTTGTCAAGTGTAAAGGTATTCTGGAAGGATAAATTCCCTGGATTAGGATTGCAGACTCAAAGGGTAAATACATTAGCAATTTTGACAGAAGTAGCCCAGCTACATCTTTTGAGGGACATGGGAAGCCCATGAGCACAGGGGGTACAGAGTGTCACTTGGACATTGGTAATGGTGAGTGATTGCTGGATATTTGCTATTCCACCCCCACCCCGTGTTCCTTGCCCCTCCCTAAAGGAATTTATACTCTTGCTTTTCTCAGTTGAGACTAGTCTGATGGTCTGTTTACAACATCCCACGTGGTTAATAAAACTCAGGACCAAAGAATGAAAAGAAAACGTTCTTCTACTCACTGCTTCTTAATTTCTGAAAGTGTATGACATGGAATAAGGACGTGTTGTAGGAACTTGGTGTCAGAAATGTCCTTAGTGAGTATGGATGAGAGGCTGGAATGGGTCCTCCTGAAACAGTCCTGTTCTTCCAGGGACAGGAAGACAAAATAGGTGTTGCCACTGGAAGTCGTGAAGAATTCCATGTCCTCGTTGGAGATGGCTCCCCAACTCTCTTCCATGGATTCAGCCTAGGCAGGTAGCACACATTAGACGTGACACTGTCATATGCATTTTAGAATACAAACCACGCATTCCATGACCCGTGGGCCAAATCTGGCCTAAACACTCCATACCCCAGGCTGTTGTCTGGAGCCATCCACTGGTCCCCTGACTCATGGTAACTCATGCACAATGAACAACACCTGCACCACCTCCATCGTCAGTTGCCAGTCAGTTACTTTTATCTGTAGGGCTGTCACTGGTTGTTTTTGGGAAATAGCTCACCAGCCCTTACTTCCTGTTCTGGCCTGGCCGGGAAGCCCTGCTGGAACCTGTTCAGCATCATGGGCTCCACTGACACACCATTAGGGGCTACAAAATGAAGAGGCACCAGCTGGAAAGTGCAGTCTCTGACATGGAAGATGAGAATTCTACCCCCACCCCTCAGGCCCCAGCCCCTCCACCCCATCCCCAGAAGTAACACTTGGTAGAACGAGGAAAGTGGCCTGTTAAAAACCTGGATTCTGATTTCTTCCAGGGATAGGAAGACAGAGTAGGTGTTTCCACTGGAAGTTGTGAAGGTCTCATGTTCTTATTGGAAATGTTGGATATGATTTGCCAAATCAGAAAATCTGACAAATCTAAGCCTGCATCCAGGCTTCTTGTCTGGGACTGGGTGGACTGTGGCCTCCAACCCCCTTTTCTAGGACATGCCCGTGAATGTTTGAGTTTATGATCCTCTCTCCGCTCAGCAAGAATTCTCATGTGACGATGTCCCCCCCAAAGCCATAGGGGAAAATAATGTCTCTGCATTTCTGTGGCCACAGCAAGTTTTTCTTCTGCTTGATGGAAAGACTTATTAATATGCCTCCTTTCTCTGCTCTCTATAGAGCATACTGTCTGCCAGTGAGGTGAGAGCTCTTTTATGTTACAAGCCAGAGAAAGGGATGAGAGAGAGACAGGAGTAAAGCAGAGTGTTCTCACTCAAAGAGAGTAGGTGGATTTACACAATTAAAAATAAAACACCAAACAGTTGTTGAACTGATTCCAACCCATGCTGATCCCATATGTTTCAAAGCAGACCTGCTCCCCAGGCTGCTTTCAATGGCTGAAATCGCCCGGCCTTTCTTAGGAGGTGGCTATGAGAGTATGTGAACATCCAACTTTTCATAGTTAGTAGTAACCATTGGCACCATCCCTGTGAAGAGGAGCTGATCATGGGAGTGGGCTGGAGAGAGATGGGGAAAGGCACACAGTTGAATAACTTCAGAGCAGAATGCAGGATGTGATGTGGGGTGAGGAAGGGGGATTGTTAGAAAGCATAGTACAGAGATAAGAACTGGATTCCTGCTGACAAAACGAAAAAGGGTGCAACCACCTTTGTAATGCTTATTATTTCCCTGCATGGAGGCTGGGCCACAGACAGCTCCAGCTCAAAGTAGGGATACGTGTGGAACATGGTAGCATTTCTCAGACCCAAGAGCCAGTCCGTTGCTTGCCTACCTCTTCCACAGATGTACTCATGTCTTCTTTTTCTTCCTCCTCCTCCTCTGCTTCCTCCTCCCCCTCTTCCTCTTCTTCTTCCTCCTCCTTCAGCCCCTCCCTCACCTCTCCTTCAGTCATCACATTTTCCTTAGTTAGGGAGAGTTTTGAGGAGTCATCTCTTTCTGTTTCCTCTGACTCACGGACATAATTCTCTCTGTGCTCACCCATGCCATCAAACAGAGTCAACTTGGCTTGCTGGATCAGCATTTCTTCACTCACGAAAGGCTTGATTTCCTTAACTTCCAGCTCTTCTTCTGGCCTGGGGGTTCTTGTCCCACTGCTTACACTTTCCTCCTCTTTATTCACTTCATCAGTAGCTTCTTGCTTCCTCAGCTTGAGAATTCTCTTCAGAGAGTCCTTCTCGTGGGCTTCTGTTGATGATCAGACCACAGCACAGGGAGAGCCAGTTACCAAAGTAACTTAGGTTAGCTATTCCCCACCCAGAAATACAAAATAACAATCCAATCTGAACTATGAAAGAATTACCTGGTTCCCTGCGTCTTAAAAAGGCTTCCCCATCCATGGTCTACAAGGAAAAGACACAGGACACAGAGTGATCAGCGTTGCTTTTCTGCAGAAGGTCACTTCCAAAGGCATATTTTTTTATGTAGGTGTAAGGACCTGGTCCTTCAACATTAAATGCAGGCCTTGACCCATTTATTTCAGTGACAAAGTGAGGATGTTATCAACCCCAGAATGTGTTTTCCTTAATCCCAAGCAGACTAGCAAATTCAAACAGCAAAGGAGCTATACCTCTTTTGACATAGGCTTTCAAGTATAAATTGAGGGTTAAAAACAAAAGGTATAGAGATCTGTTATATCAGAAGTCAATGGGCATGAGTCACATAACTCCCATTAGCCTGAAAATGTCCTTTGTTTCACAAGCTTTAGGCCAAAGTATGTGTAATGGATCACAATGTAGGCTACATAATGGATCACAATGTAGACTACAGAGTTTGTAGGTATGTGTTTGAATCGCAGCCCCTTACAAGCTGAGTGACCCTGGGAAGGTCCCCAAAATCCTATGGGGACATCTTCCTGTGAAATGCAGCATAGATGACAGTAGCGACTATACTCTCATTCAGGCTATCAGAATTAACTTCTCTCTTGACTTTCAGCCTCTGCTTTAAACCACTGTAACAGTAAAGTGTTCAGTATAGTACTAGTCAGCCTAGAAGCACAAAGACAAACAGAGGCTTGAACATAGATTCTACCTCATGCAGCTAGGGAAGGTGTTTCAAGTCTTGGCAGATGAAAACAAGAAATCATGTCCTTCCTCCTGCAATCTTTGGGAATGGCCACTGTATGTATGTATGGTTCACTGTATCCCATACCTGTTCAAAGATTTCCCGAACAAAAAAATACTGGCTGACAGTGTAGCTGTAGGCATTAAGCTCTTTCAGTATCATCACCGGGTACATCATCACTTCTTTTGTCAGGATATCATGAAAACTTTCGTACCTATAAGGTAGAGAGTGAGACCACTGTCTAAGGAGAAGGTAGTCAGTTTTGTGGTTAAGATTAAGGTTTGGGAGCAATGCCACTGATCCCAAAGGGGCAGGACTGAATCTGGTCCTTAGCATTGCAAAGAGCCGGGGGTGTGGGTTTCTCTTCAACAAGAACAATTCCTGGTTTTGTCTTTCTGTTCTGATTTGTACAAGGGATGTACGCTCTGTGTAGAAAATATTCAGGAAAAAAAATTTGGAAAATATTCAGGAGAGAAGTTCTCTGTTTGTTGTGATTCCTGCTGCTGGCTAACGCCAAGTGGGCTCCCAACTCAGGAGAGCACCATGAATAACGGAATGACACACTGCCCAGTCTTGTGTGATTCCCAGTTGTAGACCCGTTGGGTTTTCACTGACTGATTCTGAGAAGCAGCACAGCAAGTCTTGCTTCCTAGTCTTTCTTAGTCTGGGAGCTCCACTGAAAAGCTCTCAGTGACATGCAAGCCACCATTGACAGACAGGTGGTGGCTGAACTTGAGATGTGCTGGCAAGAATTGAACCCCGTTCTGAGGTATGGAAGGCAGAATCTTACCACTGAACCATCACTGTCTCATCATGTTGTTGTAACAGGAGCTTCTATTTTGTGCTCGTTGTCCTAATCCTGTCTTGCAGTTTTACATGTAGCATCCCACTAAATCCTCAAAATGCCCAAAGCCAAGGATTTTATTTTTCAGATAAAGAAAGCAAGGCTCAGAGGTTCTTTTTAACCTAATGTTTTGCTTCTGAATCTAAACACGGCAATTCTTTTGGCAGTGCAATTCCGTTTCTGCAAATGGGATATATTGAGCAAGTTTTGCAGGGACACGAAGACACTAAAAAGTTTACAAAGAGCCTGAACTAAGAAAATAAAGCCAACCTAAAAAAAGATGCTCAGACTTCTAGATAACACAGGAGACTAGTCAGACAACAGTCCAGATCCTCTTCAGCTAAAGACAGAAGAAAACAAAGATAACAATGACAGAAACCTGAGTTTTAAAGGATAAATATAAGGAAGTAGTTCAAACACCAACAGATGAAAGAAATGGAATGAAAAGATCAGAGAAGGAGGACAAAAGACAGACTTGTAAACAGCACCATGTGACCATTGTGAATGTTTTGGATGATAAAGGTAATCAGGGATGCAGCAGTGTCCACCCCAGCAACAGGCTGACAACAAGAAAGGTGTGACCTCCCTCCTTGTTTGCCACGCCTCCTGGGGGATCAGGGAGCTTCCTCTCTCTCCTCATCACCTACTAACTAGGTGGATGGCAATATTCCTCTGGGCTCATCCCAGCTCTGCCTGAGTCAGGCCTATCCCATTTCATATCTGGTGCCAGGGATGTGCACAGGGCTCTACATCTAGAGGCTCCCTCCAGGAGCCACCTCTGCATTAGTGAGAACACCACCTCTCACTGGGGTCCTTGAGTCTCACTGGACATGCTTGTGGACACCTTACCCAGAAAACACCACATCCAGATTTGGAACACTGCCTCCTCTACAGAGTGTGGCATCTCTGGACATTTCAGGTTGGCACAATGAGAATGTTTATTCATGCTTGTCTGCTCTGCCTGCACCCATTCCCTGGACTGGCAAAGACACCATTTCTATCCCAGTGGACTACTCCAGGATTCTCGGAGGCCAGCAGAAACGCCATCTCAGCCTGGATACACCATCCCCAATCCCCTCTTAGACTGGAAGAGGTCCTATATGTGGCCCAGTTCATATCTTGGGACTTAGATACCAGTCTTAAAGCTCAAGTGAGATCTGTTCAGTAACACAGCAACATCTACTGACATAGCTGCATAGCTCAGTCAGATATATAAAAACAAAATAATACAAAGAGAAAAGTGCCACATTGTCTTAGAGGCAATAGATAATTTTAAACCACATACACACACACACACACAAAGTGGCACAAAAAAGTGGGGGGGGGGGGAACACCACAGAGCCAGAAAATCTTTCAGAAGAAGAAAAGCTATTGGAACTTCTTGATAAGGAAGTCAAAAGAAAGATAATTTGGTGCCTTGGACAGATTAAGAAAAAGTTCATGGAAAACAGAAGATTTTTTTTTAAAGTACTAGAAAATAAGGTAGATAAAAATCAATGGAAAATTAGGCTCAATATAAAACAGAATTGAAATTCAGAATATTAACACCAATATTTCAGAAATAGACAACACATAATAAAAGGACAAGAGGGTAGAATTGAAGCAATGAAACACAGAATTAGTAAGATGGAGGATAAATCCTTCAATATTAATCTGTTAGGGGAACAATTTTTAAAAAAAGGAGGAAGGAAAATGAAGAGAGCATAAGGATTATGTAAGACAACATCAAGAGGAATAATTTACATGATTGGAACTCCAAAACAGGAAGATATATTTTTTAAAAAACCAGGCAGAGAATTATTGAAAAGTTTGTGGAAGAAAACTTGTCAAATATTACAAAAAAATAAAGAAATATTCATTCAATAAACAGGGAAGAAACCCAACAAACCAAAGCAACCCAACAAAACCAAACAGGATAGATTTCAAAAGAAAAACACCAAAATATAGCAATCAAATTTTCCAAAATTAAAGACAAAAAAAGAATACTGAAAGCAGTTTGGGAAAAACAAAGAGTTATATAGAGAAGAACCAATAAGACTAAGGTCTAATTTCTCAGCAGAAATTATATAAGCAAGAAGACAATGGGAACAGCAAGAAAAACCTGCAATCTCCAGAGAAAAGAAATTGTAAAGATTCATTCTCTCTCTCTGTCTCTCCCTGCCCCCCTTTATCTCCCTCTCTGGTTCCCCCCCCTTTCCCCCTACCTCCCACATTGCCATGGAGTTGGAACTGACTCAGAGCTGATCCTCAAGCAGGTTTTCACAGGCTTGCCTACCTGCCTTTAGAATGGCAACACAGCTCCTTTCCCACTAGGCCACCAGAGCCCCCAATAAAGATTAGAGCAGAAATAAATAAAACAGGAAAACTACAAACTCAACTCCTAACTAAGCTGACACAGACAGCCAGATGTTTGAAGATACCCATCACAAAAGAAAAACTTGAACAAGTCATGCTTGGTAGGGTGGAGGGATAGTTGTGTCACTCTGGAGACTAAGGTGCAATGGTGTCACTCTGGAGACTAAGATGCACCTGATACAGCCTTTGAGCTGTGGTGTTGGAGAAGAGTATTAAATATACCATGGACTGCTAAGAAAATGAACAGGTTTACCCTGGAGAGGATTAAATTAGGCTGCTCCCTGGAGGCAAAGATTCTGAAGCTTTGTCTGACATACTTCAGACATGTTGCAAGGAGGGATCAGTCCTTGGAGAGGGATGTCATGCTCAGGAGAGTGGAGAGACAGCGCAGGAGAGGAAGACCCTCTATGAGGTGGATTGATTTGGTGACTGGGGTAATGCGGGTAGGTGTGTCAGAGAAAGTGAGATTGGTACAGGATAGAGAAGGGTTTAGGGCTGTTAAACATAGTCACAAGCGACTCGACAGTACAATAACAACAAACAACAACATGTTGAACAAGCAGCCTATAATCTTGCGACAAAGTTAACAATATAGTTTATGAACTAATATGGATCAGTTCTGGGTCATCACTGCTAGAGGTACACGGAAGAAAACCTTTTCCTCAGGTTTCACCAAGCACACCCTTAGGTCTCTTGAATAGGAATTCTAGACCATCCCCTTCTGCCTTTTGGAGTCTGGTCTACATACCTTAATTTCATGTTCTTCAGAAAATCTAGCGCAATTTCCAGGTGATTCCTCAGTGTTTGCTCACTGCTTTGCTGCCTCAGTTGGTCCAAAATCCTATTCAGGTTGGCCTCCTGGGCCTTGCAGCCATCCACAAAACAAAACAAAACAAAACAAACAGATGGGAGCTGGGCACAGCCTGAAGTCAGAGTCAGAGCAGAAACTAAACTCACAGAGTTTAGCATTTTGCAGAAACACTGCTGCTCCAGTGGAGGCCCACTCTCCTGGGGGACTCCTCCTGGACTTCCTTTCTACAAAATGAGCATTAGATCCACCATCACTGCTCTTCTATCATTTGGGTCCTGGTTTTCTCTCCCTTCCTCTATCATCTGTGCTCTCCTGTCTATCTGGAATGTTCTCCCCTCTCCAGCTTCAGATATACATTCTCAGGTGCATGTCCCCAGACTCCTCCTCTATGTGGTCGGCTCAGCCACACCTCACAACATTTGCTCACAGTCTCGTTCTCACAGTCACACTCAAAGATGCTGGATGGGGGTAGGCAAGGGGACTCCTTTAGCTTCTTATATAGAGTGCACTGGTCACAGGCAGATGCTCCATAGGCATCAGTCTATTTATCTGTCTGTCTTTTCACCTGCTTTCAGGCATATATTTCTTCTGCTCGTCTTCACTGGATTTGTCACTAAATGATAATCTTTCCCTTTGCTATTTCATGATGCCAAGAATGATATATTTTGAGCAGTCTTGATTCAGGGGAAGAAAGTGATTCTGTGGACTCTCAGAAGTTATGAAATGCCCATCTGTTGTGCTAAGCTCCCTCTGTTCTACCTTTATGTGACTTCGGAGGTGGTTCTCTCTGGGAGGAGGCTGCTGGTCAGAGAGTTGGGCCTCCTCTTCTGATGGGTAATCTGCCTTTTGGTCTCTGTGTCCAACCAAAGGAGTAGATGGACTGGTCCAGAAACTCTGACACTTGTCCAGGTGCTCCCACCTCGCTGCAGCTCCAGGGCCTGTCTGGAGTCTGATGGCCCTTTGGCACTATGACCCGGATGACACTATGGGCTAGAAGTGCCAACTGAGGGCCCCTTGCTCTGTTCATCCTGAACTCCCACTGAAACACTGGGCCCTTGTCCTGGTCCAGGCTCTCTGGAAAAAACGAACCATTTCAATTCAGCCATGGAAGCACCGTGGGAGTGCTGGTTTTGCCATCCAGGGTTTTGCTATCTACGGGGAGGAATGCTGCCAGGGGCTCTTACACCTGAAGGAAATAGAAGTCTGTCTTAGCTGTTGGACCTTGGCCATCTGTTCCTGGGGCGACTTTCCCTGAAAGGCTAAATTTAGGCCTTGATGCCAATTTCACTCACAGGAAAGACCCTTCTGGACATAGAGCTGGGTCTCACTGTCCTCATACACGTGCTTGGCAAAAGGTCAGTCAAGTCCTTGCTTCCTCCCCTCTCCCACCCTGGCCTAGTTCTTTCTCACTCCCGACAGCCTCTGACTACGTCCCTCGGTTGTGCTAGTTCTTCTCCTGGAGGCATGTCTAGTATCCGCTCTTGGCCAGGAGTTTGTAGTGGGAGAGGCAGATGGATGGAGTCCCCTTTTCTTGTGACCTGAGCACAGTGTTTGGCACATAGTGTGTACTCGGTGAGAACACCTTTAAGGAACGAAGGCAGTAAAGCTTGACTGAATGTCTAGCTGACAGTCTGGTGTGGATGGTCGCAGGGTGGCAGACACTGTACCTGGTTCTCCTGGTTCTGCTTCTCCTGATGCTGCTGCAATCTCTTCTCCAGGTCGAGCTCCTGCACGGACAGCGTTCCCTGGTGGGCCTCCCACAGCTTCACAGCTTTTTGGAAGTATGTGTAAAGATCCCGGCTCTGCCACTCCGTCCGCTTTGCCAGGACCTCGAAGGATTTCTGCCATGACAGAAGCCAGAGAAAGGTGTTGAGTGTCCAAGGCTCCAGGCAAGGAGGAGGCTCGAGTCTCCTGACTGGTCATTGGAAGGCCTATATCTCTGAGGACTGACCATTTCTTCCTGGTCACTCTCCTCTAGCTCCACAGGGCTTTCTCTGCTGGGACAATGTCATTTGGGCTGCCCCAAGGCCACATTTTTGGTCTGGAGCCCCTGAAGTCAGACAACTAGACCTGTACTGTGCCTCACTGAAGCTGTTGGCATGGAGAGGTGGTGCTTAGGGCCCTGAAGAAGGAAGAACCAACCCTGGATGCGTACAGGCTGACAACACCAAAACTGGCCCAGGCAGCTTTCCTTCTCCCTCGTTCTCAACCCACCAAGTTTGGGTTCCTCTCTCTGCTCGTAAACATTCCCATTTCTCACTGTCTTGTTGGTTAGTTTTGTTATTGTTTTCTCATTATATGGGTTTCATATCTTCATCTGAACCAGGAGTTGACAATTGTGGCTTTACACCTGCTTGTGTAGGTGGAAGCTCAGCACAAGCTTGGAGATTTTTTTTTAATGTTGAAAAAGAAAATACAAATCATAGTATTTTGTGATATATAAAATTCAAAGTAATGACAAATAAATGTTAATGGAACCCCATGATGCCCGCCCACCTGCATATTGTCTAGGCTTGAGCACAGTGGCGATTATAAGGATGGCACAGTACTGGGAAAGGTTTCCATCTGTGTACACAGGGTCTCTATGAGTTAGAACTGGCTGCACAGCACTTAACAGTAAGAACAAAGCAGCCCTTTACAGAGATAGTTCACCAAACTTCTTAAGGGTAGAGATATTCCTGATACACATTCAGTGCCCAGAGTCAGCAGGGGTTGGAAGCTCTGGGAGCCCGGGCACCTGTTGTGGAAAGCTTGCTCTCAGAGTAGTTGGCAATGACAGAGATGAAGGAATACACAGGTGGTATGTTGTGAATGTTCCCACCTGGTGCTCCATCGACCCAGGCACTCACACCTGCCACCCGATTCCCAGCCAGCTGGTCCCCAGCTACGCACATCCATGAGATCCAGCTCCTCCTCTGTCTTGCTCTGCAGCACACCCACCATCTGGAAGGACCGGCTCATCAGCTTCCCTGCTTCCTCCTCGGTGAAGGCTTTCCACTCCAGAAGCTCATTCTGAAAGAGACCAAGGCAGGATCTGGCTGAGAGCACGGCGGAGCTCAGTCCTCAATTTGGAGTCTGCATCTGCTCTGCAGCCCCTTCCCTCATCTCAAAACCTCTCCAGAGAAAGTTTGGCCACAGCAGACACACTTTATCTTCATTCCTTGTGCTTTGTAGCCAGTGACTGTGTCCATGCTGTGCCATGTGATGTCACTGGCAGTGAGCAAAGAACATTTGAGGCAGAGGGAAGGAATGGTCTCAGAAAGTCCAAAGGTCAGGAGAGCCAGGGGTATGTGAAGAAGGAAAAGCAGGTACGGGAACTAGAGGGTGAAGGCATGCAGGGAGGAACGAGGCTGCAAAGGGGATAAAGATGGAGCCATGGGGGCAGACCATCAGCCCTTCACCCCCTTCGTTTAATTCTGAGGACGCTGGGTAGGAGCCCACCTTACACTTCTGCACCTGGGCCAGGCACTCCTGCCAGGTCTTCTCATACTGCAGGCGGATGCGCACCACGCAGTCCACGTGGTAGGCGTCTCCAGGGACAAAGGGTGTGGGGAGAAAACACGTCAGCTTCCAGAAAGAAGAAGAGGAATCAGAAAGAGGAGTTGCTCTTTGGTAAAGGGACATGGTTTTCTCCAGCAAAGAGCCTCCACTGCTAGAACGAAGGATTCTGAGACCAGTTGTCCCAACTAAGAGCTAGAGCTTGGCTTTCCCCAAGTCCTTGACACTCAAAGACAAAGGCCTCAGATGGCCTATTTTCTGAATTCATTGTGATTTTTGATGTCTAGGGATCTCTGTTCTGCATATAGGTTGGGGTGGTCTAATGTAGTAAGGAGCTGTGCTACCAACCCAAAGGCACATGGTTCAAATCCACCAGTGGGTCTGTGGGGAAAAGATGAGTGATCTCTTCCCCTGTAATTTATTGCCTCTGAAAAGCCCCTGGAGGGTCAGTTCCAACTTGATTACATTGCAATACTCTTGTGTGTTCAAGATAAGCAAAACCACAAGTCAATTATCATTTTGAAGTCCAGTGCTCCTGGTAATTTCTGGAAACTGAAAGGTAATTCAAAGGATCTGTGGTAGTTGTTCTTTGACAAAGGCTGCAGAGCTGGAAAATCGCTTATTTAGGACACAGGGGAGTAGAGATACAAGCTGGGTCTGATGAGGAGATGCTTGCTGATCCTGAGGGTCACTTCCTAGCAACCCCACCCTTCCTGAGATGTTGCCGTGACAGATCTCTGCTGAGTCTTCCTACTCCTATACTTCCCTGATCCAAGCCACCATGCACTGGGATCCTACAGGCCTCAGAAGAATATCATAGCTGTCAGGCCCTCATGGTCTGGCCCTCTGTTTCTTCCAGCCTATCTCACCACCTTCGCTTCCCAAAGGGCTCAAAGTTGTGATTCTCGCCCACTCTTCTCTTCTCCCCTCTTCCCTCCTGCCCCAGGATAAACCTGCTCTCTCTTCCCTCTCCCATCACTTCCTGAGTTCCTAAAAGAATCTCAAATAAATGGTCACTGAATGGCTGAAGTTACTGAAGCTCCTGTTTGAACAGAGCCTTGGAGAGTTCTGGGTGGAATTCTGCAAACATTACTCACCTAGTTCCTTATTTAGGTCGATGAGAACAGAATACCATTCAGTCAGCTGGTCTTGGCTGTAAGTGGGGGGCAGAAGTTCACTGTGGAGGGAAGATGTGGGAATTAAACTATACTTTTAAAATCCGTACTTTAAAAATCTGTAGTATCTTCAAGGAACATAACTCCAGAGTGTTATATATTTAAAGTCCTGGATGTGAGGGTGATCTGGCTGTGATATCTGTCACCCTATTGATCGCTAGGGTTGATTCGGCTGATCTGGGTGGCTAGGCAGCTGTCCCTTTCCTTCCTCACTGATTCATGGGTTTCCCTCCCAAAGTTGTGCACTCAGTTGAGGAGGACGACCTTCCCTGGTAGAAGGAGAACCGTCCTTTGGTCAAGGGTATATGAGTAGCTGCACTCCCCTGCTAGAACCTCCAAACAAGCTCTTAAAGTCTGCAGAATAAAGTGACGTCCTCGGTACTTTCTGGTGCCAAATAATACCTCTTGAAAAAGATCTCTTAATCCTACTAAGTTTATTACTTAGCAACAAAAAAACAGAAAATTTTTAATAGGAAAAGCAAAACTATTCATAATACTTTACCAAGGAACTCAAACTTTAAGAACCCAATCTGAGATAATACGAAGTCCAGATAAAAATCTATGCATCAAAAAATGTCCACTAATAATATAAAAATAGGAAGCTGGTGGATTGGAACCACTGAACTTTCAGTTAGTAGAATAACAGACAAGGGGCCACAAGACAGCCTCGTTCTGTCCACCAGTTCCCTGTCTCTGCTCTTCAATGTATCTTCAACTTCCTGATTACTCTTCAACCGATCATGATTTCATAACTTTAGTTCCTATTGTCTGAGAACTCTGGCTTCTTTCTCATTTGATCTATAGATTATCTTTATTTTGTGAATTTGGACATGTTTGAGCCCAGACCAACTCTGGACTTACCACAAATTTCTTAATTAAAATCTTAGGAAATGTCTAAACAAATTTGATCAAATTATAATCCGAATTCATGAAAACAAAGTATTGCAGCTTTAATAATGGTCAAAATACCAAAGGCTCTTCCCATCAAGAAGTGGAGTCTAATTCTCTAATTCAAGTTCCTTGAATTTGAACTTGGCCATGTGACTTGCTTTGGCCAGTGGGACACTAGCAAAGGTGACACCAACAGAAACTGGAAAAGGGCTCGTGCTTAGGGTGCAGGAAATTCTGACACCTTATAAATAAACATGTGCTAACCTCCTGAAGACCACATGGACAGAGGCTCCAGCAGTTCCAGCTGAGATTTCAGATGAAAGCAGCATTTAAAAATCATATGCACATATACTCATGAGTGGCAGAAAAACCCATAGAGAATGGTAATAATGCTCTCAACTTCTTTGTCATCAACACTCACATGCCCACAGGTCAGTCAGTGAGCAGAAAGCCAGAATCTCCATCACAAGAAGTTCTGGAGGGTTGAAGGAGAGAACTTGAGCTATGGGTTAGGATGGGCTGTGGGTCACCTGTGGCTCTCAAACAACGTAGTTTCCTGCGACAACTCGCCTGGCATGATTAGAAGGTTGCTTAAACTCCCTAAGAAGTCATTAAGCAAAGATACTTGTTCCCTCCAACATGTGCTCTGTGGGCATTGTAAAGGCTGAAAACCACAAACCCAAACTTTCCCTTTTAAGTTCATTGGGCTTCTAAGACCAAGGCTTCACTTTTCCCTTACACCCCAGTGCTCAGCATCAAGGTCACACTTAACTTCCTTCTACAGCAAGTGTGTCGTGTTCTCTGGGGCTGGAAGGCCCAGGAACATGGGCCCAGGGAATCAGCCATGACAAGAAAACTTGGAGAGATGGCCTGGTCTGCAAGATGCCTCTCAAAGGAGAGGTCTCTACAGATGAGGTCTCCACCTCCTCACTGGACCCCAAAATGTGCCCCTCCCTCATGACTTCTCCCATGGTACCAGAACTTGTAGAGATGCCTCAGCCGCTTCATCTGAAAGGATTTCTGGGTTTTCAACATGGCATCTAGTTCCTTCTTCACAGCTGGAGGAGACTGGATCTTCTCACTGGCCATGAACTCACTGGACAGCCAGACATACGTATTTGGACCACGCAGAGGACAGAAAGGTCAGAGTGGGCAGACAGGAGAGATTCTTGGTAAAAACATACAAAGCTTCCCCTACACTGGCCCCTTTCCCACCTTGCTGGGTCTCCAGGATACAGGAAAGAAGGAAAGGTGGGGAGAAAGGAGAAGAAAAGAAGAAGGGAGGGAGCAGACAGAGGGAGAAAGGGAAAGAGAAAGGGAAGGAGGGAGGACAGAGCCTCTGGTGAGGATCAACAGCCAAGGGGGTTGGAAAGAGGTGGGGAGAACCTGCAGACACAGATCTGGGTAGAGATCTTTATATCATGAGGAAAGACGGCCTCCAAGCACTGGTCCCAAAGGGTTTACTTCTTCATAGCAAGCCAAGGCCAATACACTGCCTTCAAGTAAATTCTGACTCAGGGACCGGCTAGGACAGAGTAGAACTGCCCCTTAAGTGTTTTCAATGTTGTGGTCTCTACAGAAAGAGATACCTTCATCTTTCTCCTGAGGAACAGATGGTTAACTAAACTGCAGGCCCTATGGCTAGCAGCCCAGTGCTTAATCCACAGCACCACAAGGCTCCTAGACTGAGGTCAACTAGCCCAGAACAGTTTGAAGGCACCAATCTCCCGTTTTCATCCAACCAATTAAAAAATACCTTCACTAAGCTACACAGCGCCTGCTCAGTCCCAGAAACTGTGCTCAAAAACCTCACATTCATTGCTGTCCAGCAGGAAATGCCTCCCAGCTCACCCTCCACTTGCTTTCCAAGGCTGGAAATCACACGGAAGCAGATTTTCCATCTATCTCCCAAGGCATCACTGGTGGATTTCAATCCCCAAAGGCAAGGTCATTGTATTAGCAGTGCGGCTCCCTACAGACGAGGCTAATCAAGAATCCTGTGGTTACATGGGCCCTAAGATCCTGCTAAGAAGCTCCCGGTGGCACAGCCTGAAGCGTAATGCATGACTCACCAAGAAGCTGACAGTCTCCCGCAGTTCAGATCCACCAGCTATTCCACCAGAGAAAGACGGACACTTTCCTCCTAAGAATTACAGCCTCAAAAATGTAGCGGAGGGTCACTTTGAGTCAGAATGACTCGATGGCAGGGAGTTTGGAGTTTTTGTTTGTGGATTTTTTTGGTGTTTTTGTTTTTGTTTATGTGTTGTGCCTTTGGAAAACCCTAACCAAGAAAATCCTCACCTTGTTGGAGGAGGAGTCTGCTCGGATATACACATGGCCCCTTTCTCACCCACGCCCTCTGTCCCTTCCCACAGCACAGGAGCTCTGGTGGCCTAGTCCTCCAGGAGACGCCCTGCTAACCCAAAGGCTGCACCTCTTTGGTAGTTTGAATCCACCAGCAGCTCCACAGGAGAAATTTGGGTAGTTTTCTCCCACGGGATTTTAAGCTTCTGAAAACCTTGGAGGGTCAGCTATGAGTTGGTTCTGACTAGAGGGCAGAGTTTTGAGTCCTGTCGGGATTGCAGTACAGCTTCTTACCACTAGGCCAGCTGACCAGTGGTAAGGAATTGCACTGCCATGAAAAGCAAAGGTATGCAGTTTGAATCCACCAACTGCTGCATACAAGTAAGATGGACAATCTCTTCCTGTGTGGTTTACTGCCTCTTAGAACCCATTCGAGGGTCAGTTATGGGTCAGTTCCTACTCAGTGATACACAACACACACACACACACACACACACACACACACACTTCATCATGAGTTTCACTTCTCTAGAGGACCTAGCCAAAGACGGAAACCAGTGTCCTAAAAAGCCTTGGAGAAAATATGCAGTACCTTTTAACTGTGGGGAGGGACAGAAATGAAAGCCAACCCACTGCCACTGAGCCAGTTCTGCCTCACAGCGCCTGCATCGTGTTTCCAAAGCTATACATCTTATGAGAGGACACTGCCCATCTCTCTCCCACTGAGCAGCTGGCAGGACGGCTGACCTTTCGGTTGGCAGCCTGATGCATTGCACACTAGGCCACCAAAGCTCCTGGGTGAGCTTTAACTTCCTTATGCTTTAACCTGCTCTGGTTGTTGGGTTGTTGGTTTTCTGTAAGAGCACGTATTGCTTTCACCACTGGAAAACCACAGAAACATGAAAAAGGCAGAAAGAATGCCCTGAAGCTCCTGATGGCCCCTTGGGTGTGCTGGGGCAGGGCTTGGGGATGGGGAGAGGAGGGAAGGCTAGACCTTTTGGACTCCCCAGGAGAGTCTGTGGGCAGCGCCCGCTGACCTGAAACTCTGCATCAGAGCATCCTTCTTGAGACTCTTCCAAGCATCTAGCAAGTCCTGCCAGCGGTGGTGGTTGCTGACTTCTTGCTTCAGGGTGGCCTCTGTCAGGTTGAGGAACAGCTGGGCGATGGCTCTCCGGTTGCCCAGCAGGGCCTGGTTTATGATCTGTAGTCACAGGCAGAGACGGCTCACAAGGGTCAGAAGAGGGTTCATTAGAGAGAGGTTGGGGGAAGCTGGCCAGGAGCTAGATAAGATGCAGACCAAGGGCAGGAGGCTGAGCCGGGTGGTGGCCGAGTGTACTGTCGGAGGGGTCTGAAGGATGCTAAGGAGTACTGAGGAGACACACAAGAAGAGGGTGTTCTTGGAAGCCTTGTCCATGGATGGGACCATTGCTTGAGAAGGTCAAAGGTGTCAGTCCTCCAGGGGGGCTAAGTACTTAACTCTTCTTTATTAGCCATCCTCTTAAGGGGCTCTCTTCTGGACATTCTTGGTGTGGGGATAGGAGTTTGGGACACTTCATTTTGTGGTGCAGTTCTTCCATTTAGCATCCCTGCCCCCTGAATAAAAGTAGTCACCCCAACCCCACACCAGTTCCTAGAACAACCACAAATGCCTCCACACATTTCCCTTTAAAGCCCCCGAGAGACATGACGATACTGCCTAGGGAACAAGATCAACTGGGAAAAGTGGAGAAACAGAGCAGGTGTGGTCACTTATGAGGGGTCAGACTACCCCAAAACCACAACAGACGCTCAAACGATGCTCCCGTAGAGAAACACTGTACAGTGCACTCCTCGCATTGCGACCATCTGCCACTCTCCTGGTTCTCTGCTAGACCGGAACTTAATCTCCCTGTATTGTATGGATAGACCCGAGTATCCAACATACACTTGACATTTGGTAAAATCCTTGATGTTCAAAATCTTCAACACTGTGTTAGGTCTACCTGATTCAAGATGACAAGAAAGTACAAAATGTCCTTTCAAAGACCCCTATTGAAAATGACAAAGACCCAAATTCTAACATGTAAGAGGTCAACTTGAGTTCCTTGGAAATGTTACATAGAAGAAGCAGGCCATTCCCAAGATATCAAGCCCTGAGGCCTCCCGTAGGCCCACTCCTTCCCCCATGGGCTAGTCTCACGCCAGGGAATACCACTCACCATAGCTTCTTTATTTATCAATCTGTGCACATCAGGCTGCATGAGGTAGTGAGTTTTCTGTATGACTTCCATATACTTCTTGAATAGATCTTTAAGCTATAAATTAATGACAGCTATAAATCAATGACAAGGGGGTCATAAATCCAACTCTCTTTTTTATGAAGAAGATGAAGGGGGGGGAAACAAATGTCCAATACACTCAGTGGGCAGGAGCCATTGAAGTGCTCAATGCACGTGCCAACTCACTTTATTGGTCCTCAAGAACTCAAGGGAGTGCAGAGTTTCATCCAGCTCTTGAATCCACTGCTTCCGGAGCAAGCACTTCTTGGTCACCTTATCGTGCACTTGCCTCAGAGTCTAAATGGAAAATGGGCAGGAAGGAGGAGAGTGAAGGAACAGGACTGGGTGGGGAGGCCCAGCCAAGTGGGGACTCCTACCTGGATGCTGTACTCCTGAAGGGTGGGATCTGATTCCACCTTTGTGAAGAGGTGGTCAATGTCTTCATCACACTCAGCCAGTTTCTCCAAAAGGTGTGTTCCTGACTCCAAGATGAGAGGTTCCATTTCCTAAACCCGGCCAGGAGGATGAGGAGGAAGAATCAGACTTAATCTCTGATTCAAGAATAATAACCATCACCTCGTAAGTAAGGAGTTGCACTCCCAACTTAAAGGCAGGTTATCCAAATCCACCAGCTGGCTGTGTAGGAGAAAGATGACCAGTCTCCTGTGTGATTTACAGCCTCTGAAAAATCACAAGAGGGTCAGTTATGAATCAGTCTAACTCAGCAGCAATGAGTTTGAACTTGAGTCCTACGGAAGAGAGTTGTTGTGGCTTAGTGCTAAGAAGCTGCACTGCTGACTTAAAGGCATGTGGTTCAAATTCACCAACTGCTCCTCAGGAGCAGGATGAACAGTCCCCTCCCATGCAACTTGCTGTCTCTGCAAACCTACGGGAGGTCAGCTATGAGTCAGTACAATCCTAGGGATGTATTCCTAATATTTAACTCAGAGTCACAGAACAGCAGTGGGCACCACGTGGGGCACATACCATAGGTGCTGACAGTGGACCATGGTGGATGTTCAACAAATATTTATTTTTAAAACTAGCCCCATGGAAGAATTTCAAGTTTACTTCGGATAAGGAAGGAAAGTGAAGCTCAGTTACATTGCATGACCAAGATGACAGAGTTTGAGGTGATAGAACTAATGTCTAGTTGAGATGTTCCTATGAAAGTAGCAAGTTTGCTGTGGGAGCATATTTCTGAAGCTTTGAACAAAGAGCTGGCTCCCGAAATCAAGGACTATTTGGCACAGCTAGAGAAGACTGGAAGTAGGAGAAGTAAGTGATGCCGTGGTGTCTGGGCCCAGAAATAACGAGGGAGAGACAGGAAGGGTGATTTTCTAGGGAACAATGCAGAGACAAGTGTGAGCTAGAATGAGGTCTTTGGAGAAATCAGGAAACATCACATTAGGTCATCATGTGAGGTCAAGTTCTTTAGCCATTTATTCCGAGGACTGAGCAGAGGAGTCATACGATGAATTTTGGCATCAAATATGAGGTGTAATGCTGACTTGAACCTTGTATACTGTGTGGCCACTTGCAAGACTCTGTTCCCCACCTGCAAAATGTTAATAACACCATATATAATTTCCATATTCTGTTGCATCACTTTTCTTGGGAATGGCAACAAATATATATCTCTTCCAGTAAGTTGGCCAGGCAGCTGTCTTCCAAGTTTCCTGTTGAAGACGGTGAGCATGTCCAGGGCTGCATCTGTTTGTTGAAACATGTAAATTGGTATCCCAACGATTCCTGGGGCCTTATTTTTTGCCAATGCCTTAAGTGCAGCTTTAGTTTCTTCCTTCATTATCAATGGCTTCTGATCACATTTTATTTCCTGAAATGGTTCTATGTCAGCCAATTCTTTTTGATACAGTGACTCTGTGTTACCCCTTAATCTTCTCTTAATGCTTCCTGGAACATTCAAAATTTTGCCCATAGCATCTCTCAGTATTGCAACTCAACACTTGAATTTGCTTTTTCCATTCTCTCAGCTTGAGAAATGCCAAGGGAGTTTGTCTTTTCTTATTCCAACTCCAGCTTTTTGTACATTTCATTAAAATACTTTGTCTTCTCCAGCTGCCCTTTGAAATCTTCTGTTCATATTTTTTTTACTTTGATATCTCTTCCCCTTGTTTTGGCTTCTCATTGCTTTGTAGTACAATTTTCAGTCTTTTCTGACATTCATTATGGTCTTTTGTTTCTTTCATTCCCAAGAAAGGAATGTGAAAATTATATAATGTAATCTTTGATATCACATAAAAGCAAAATTTTATTGAAAGTTATCGAAAAACATCTAGATGAGTATATAGATAAAGAACTGTCAGAAGTTCAAGCAGGGTTTAGAAGAGGCTGTGGCACCAGAGACGTCATTGTTGGTGTCAGACGGATTGTAGATGAAATCAGAGAATAGCAGTCTATTTGTGTATTATTGACTATGCACAGACATTTGACTGTATGGGTCATAACAAATTATGACTAACATTGAAAAGAATAGGAATCCCAGAACTCTTAATTAGGTTCATGTGAAACCTAGACCTAGACCAAGAGGCTGTGATGCAAACACAGCAAGGGAATACTACATGGTTTTAAATAAAAAATGTTCTGTGCCAAGGCTAAATCCTTTATTAATACATATTTAATCTGTATGCTGAGCAAATCATTTGAGAAACTGGATTTGATATAAGCATTGGAGGAAGACTCATCAAACAGCTTGATTCAGGTCTGAATCAGTCTTTAAATGGACTGATTTTGCTCTTGAGGACTTTGGAGACATCCTTGAAAGCAGACTTTCTCAATGGAGGCACTCAATACTCACACACAGATACTATGATTCTAGCCACATCATGATGTATCCCTGGGGCCTCCAAACTGGGGTGAAAAGAGATACACATGTAAGGAAGAACCTGCAGTGTGGAATGGTGCAGTGTGAAGATGGAAATTCTTACCATCCCAATCTGCTGGATCTCTTCCTGAAAGTTCGCCAAAGCACTCTCAAAATTCTCCCTCTTCTGTTCTCTTTGTAGTTGAAAGGAAATGGTGCTGGCTGTCTTCTCGGGAACTGGGTGAGAAACAAAAGAGTGAAGAGGCCTGTTCTCAGAACTACAAAGGAATCCAACAGTTCTCAGAAAATGACAGAACAGGCAGAAGTGCCTGTACATCAGGGAGCACCTGTATATCAGGGAGCATCTGTACATCAGGGAGCACCCATGCATCAGGGAGCACCCATGCATCAGGGAGTACCCATGTATCAGGATCTTTGTTAAGAAGATAGAATATAAAGCCACATAAGCAGAAGAAGAAGCTTTAAGGTGAAAAAAAAAATGATGGCGACCCATAAGTGTTATGGGGAAAAAGGTCTCTAGTGAAAAGCAGAAGAAAAATTCTAGAATAGTATTGTACATTAATATATGGCTTTTAAAAGTTGTACAGGCAAAAAGGGAATGTCTATCTGTGTTTCATTGACTATGTAAAGGCATTTAACTGTGTGGATCACAACAAATTGTGGCTAACCTTGATGAAAATGGGAATCCCAGACTGTGCTTATATGAAACTTACACTTGGGCCAGGAAGCAGTCCTCAGAACAAGAGCAGGGAAACACCACATGGTTCAAAATCAGGAAAGGAGTGTGTCAGGGATGCATCCTATCTCCATACCTTTTCAGTCTCTATGTAGAACAGATTCGAGAAGTAAGGCTTTATGAAAAGGAATGTGGCATCAGGATTGGAGGAAGAGAAATCAAGAATCTACATTATGCAGATGACACAACCTTGCTTGCTGAAACTGAAGAAGACCTGAAGCGCTTACTACAGAAGGTCAAGGACAGTAGTCTTCAATATGGATTTAAGCTCAACATCAAGAAGGCAAAGATTCTCACCACTGGCCCAATTTGCAGCATCATGATAGATGGAGAAGAGATTGAGGTTGTTAACAATTACAGCTTGCTCTGCTCAACAATCAACACTTTTAACACCAGCAGTCAGGAAATCAAAAGGTAAATTGCGTTGGAAAAATCTACGGTTATGGACCTCTCCAGAGTGCTGAAAAGCAATGATGTCAGTCTAGAGACTAAGGTGTGCCTAATCCAGGATATGGTCTTCACAATTACTTATTATGCTTCAGAGAGCTGGATAATAATTAAGGATGACAGAAGAAGAATCAATGCCTTTGAGTTGCAGTGCCAGAGAAGAGTCTTACACCATGGATTACACCAAGAAAACAAATAAGTCTGTCTTGGAGAGGGTGAAACCAAGTTCTTCCTTGGAGGCTAGGATTTTGAAGCTCCATCTCACATATTTTGAGTACATAGCCAGGAAAGATTGATCTTTTTCTAAGTAGAGCACACTCAGAAGGGTGGAGGAACATGCATGAGAGGAAGCCCTGAATGAAATTAATTAAAACAGTAACTGGGGCAAATGGAGGTTGGTGTGTCAGAATTAGTGAGACTAGCTCAGGACAGGGCAGGGTTCAGAGCTGCTGTACATAGAGTTGCTATGGGTTGAAGGTGACTTGACGGCACATAACAACAACAAACAACAGTGGCTTTGTGGTAAGGAACTGCACTGCCAACACTAAAGTGTGTAGTTCAAATCCACCAGCTATTCTGTAGGAGAAAGATGGTCAGTCTCCTGTCATGTGATTTACTATCTCTGAAAACCCACTGGAGGGTCAACTATTTGTTGGATCGAACTTGACAGTGCACACTAACAACATAGGTGAAAATAATATAATAATAACAATAACCAATACTGACATAGTAATATCACCTGCAAGGTACTGTTATGACTTAATCATAATGCAGTCAAGAGAGAGCATTAAAACAAGATGGAAGGAGTACACAGAATTGTTGTACCAAAAAGTAGCTGACACAGAAGAATTTCAAGAAACAACATATGATCAAGAGGCAATGGTGATGAAGGAGGAAGTTCAAGCTGCTCTAAAGGACTTGGCAAAAAGCAAAGCCCCAGGGATTGATAGAAAGCCAATTGACATATTTCAACAAACAGATGCAGCCCTGGATGTGCTCATCAAGTTGTGCCAAGAAATCCGGAGGACAACTACTTGGCCAACTGTCTGGAAGAGATTGATATTTATACCCATTTTTTTTAAAAAAAAAGGTGACCCAACAGAGTGGAAATGATCATACATTTAAGCACCATCAAATAGGACAGAGACTTTATGTGAACAAATATATGCAGGAAGTACCTCAGATCTGTACTACCTAATGAAGTTATCCAAGAAATCTTTTGGATTGCAAATAAAAAAATCCAATCATTTATATAATTGGCACAGTATTTGAATTATGCCAGTACTACATTGTAAAACAGAGTTGTATTTTTTGATATTTAACAATGCTTAACACTTTAATTGTCACTTCTGAGGAATGAACATGGTATAACACACTTGAATAAGTGTGATGCCAAACTTTTTTAATATAAATTATGCTTATTTATTATTTTCTTTAGTTTAATCTTGGTCATGTTTTGGTGTGTATTTTAAATTTTCTTCTTAAAGTGACACATTGGCATGAACATTATTGCAGGTTTTTGATGAATATAATGAATGTATTGGAGCTCAATTGAATTTGCATGGTCTTAAGAATTTTCTCTGTGTGTAAAATATAGCTGCTATTAACAGAAGAGAGAACTTTCTGTGAGTAGCCATGTGTGTTGAACAGATATAATTTCTTTGAGATGTTCAATTAATCTCACTTTAAAAATGACCAAAACATGTCTTTATCGAATTATCTTTGAATAAAAGTTTGTATATTTAAAAAAAAAATCCAATCATGTAAGGGAAATGTAGCTCATGATCTTGAATTTTAAATTACTGGTTCAGATGTGAAGTAGGATGCTAAAAATCCTCTCCATTTCATTTGAGGAATCAGGGCAACTAGAAGCTAGACAAGCAAATGAAACTCGCGCCTTTGTTCACCGTGATCTAACACAGTCAAGAACAAGATCAGAGGATTTCTCCCGCCCAGCTCCACGACAGCCACGGGACCCACACAGGATTGAGGGGGTACCTAACACACAGGGTGTGGTCAGGATTTCTTTGTTCACTGAATGCAGAGGGCATGCATGAAGGTGATCGCGCATCCCTGACACTTGAGAGCTCAAGGCAAGAACTCCATGAAGTAACAGAGCAAAGGAATAGTAGGTGCATTCCCCAGTACTTCAGAAGGGCCCCACTCAACTCGCCCTCCAGGGTGCTTCTTGCCCAAGCGAGGTCTGCCCACAGGCCAGGGCCCGAGGCTCACCAATGGTGTCCATGAGGCCCCGGACTTCCCGGGCAGCGATGGTGCTCTCACTCTCTCGTGACCTTTCCTTCTTGGCTATTTCCTTTTCCCTGTACCACAGGAAGAGTTGAATAATTAGTGCCTGGGCCCTGGGGATGCATGCAGGCCCAATGAAAACTCTCCAGAGTGCCCGTAGGCAGCATAGGCAGACACTATCTGACCCCAGTCTCCCAATCAGAATTACTGGTGTCTGCTGTGACCAGATGCTGCGGATGGTCTAATTAAAAAGACAAGGTTTCTGTTTGGACTCTGGCTGCAAAGCATTGTGGGAATAGGCAGGAGCCATTTTTCACAAGGGGAGGCGTCATCAGAGGTGGAAATGACTAGCCTAATAAAGCAAAGCCTGTGCTAGGTGCGAGATATTATATCCTCAACTACTCCTTCAGCAGCACAGAATTTTAAGGTCAATGAAGGCGGGACTCCCATACCCACTGCCTGAGGCACTCAATCAATAATTATTAGAGGGATAAAGGAGCGAAGAAGGGAAGGAGAAACAAAGACTCCTGTGAGTTACATCTTATTACCTCCGTCCTTTCTTCATGGAAGTGCCTAAGCCTTCATTCCCACCTGCGTCTCACCGTGTGTGAGGTCTTTACGACCTTTTGAGGCCTCGGGACACACTGGTTGTGGGAATGGGGCCAGTGGGGCCGGGGTGGTAGGGCTTGCCTGTAGAGCACAGGGTTTTCCGTGACCCAGTCATTGGGCAGGCTGTGCACCCACTTCTGCTGCCGAGAGGACAACATCTCCCCTTCAGGCATCTCCACCTTCTTCATCAAGGGCAACTTGGTGCCCTGCGGGTTCACATAGTCCTCCACTTTCCGATTCTTGCTGGCTACCAGGGAATGGACCAGCTGCACCTGCATCCATGGGAGACGGGGATCAGTGCTGCAGATACCCACACCTCAGGATGATTATGCTGGACTTAAATGGTCCTGGGGGAGTTGTTACCAGGAAAGGTCTACATTTATCACAGACAATCAGCCATTTCTGGGAAGGTATCTTACAAGAAATGAACATAAGGGCCAACATGTTTATTTGTTACTTTAGTGCATGTGATTTTTAAGTTAATAATTATTAACAATTACATGTTACTTTTTATATTGTAGTGAAAATATACACAAACAAGTATATGCCATTTCTACAATTTTCACACATATTCAGTAGCACTGATGATTCAGACTATGCAATTCTTGCTATCCTTTTTCAAGTTATTCCACAACCACTAACATAAACTCAAAAGTTTCCTAAGCAAAAACTCTCTATGTCTTGTTTTTCATATCCATTAGAAACAGAGGAGGAAACCAGAACTGTTAATCAATAAGAGATTGGTTGATTAAACGTGTCTTTGTCCATTTAATGGAATGTTAGCTAACTACTAAACAGGAAAGTTACAAAGAATTACACACGGCGTAAGAAATTGGTTAGGTGGTGATATGACATAAAAAAATAAAAAACTATACACTAGGGGGAGCTCTGGTGGCCTAGTGGCAAAGAGCTGCAACTACAATCCCAGAGGCGCACGGTTCGAATCCACCAGATGCTCTGCCAGGGAAGGAGGGACAATCTCCTCCTGTACCAGTCAGAGCTAATTTGATGGTACACGCACACAAAAATAATAAAAAATTTTTTAAAAAAATTAAAAAAAACCCCTATACACTAAATCACCCAGTATTAGCCCAAATTAAAATTAATAGAAAAATGACCAGAAGAGAATATTCCAAAAGATTCAGAAAGGCATGTTGTCTATAAGGGAGCAAAATTATATAAATAGTGTGCATTGACATTGACTTCTGTGTACTTCTGTATAGTTTCCAAATCTTCTACAGAAAACATTTTTCATGTTTAAATTAGGAATGAAACCCTTTTTAAACAGTGCAAAACTTCAAAAGTAGGATACAGAGGTGTTTGTTAAAGGCTTTTTTTGCTTTCATCTGCATAGTGCAATTTAGCCACTGATATAGTCACTTTGGGACTATATTGTCACTTAAACGTGCTATAGAAAGCTCCAAGATGCACAAGTAGACAAAGATGAAGGCACATTGCCTGGGATATGGCTTGTGAAATGTCATTAAAGAGTAAAAACAGGTGTTAAAACTCTGGTATGAGACAGGAGACTCTGTACAGTTAACCTGAGAGTTTGGAAGTTCATTTGCACCCAGAAGTGCCTTGGAAGAAGCGATATACTTTGGAAAAATAGTTTTACTGTGACACATACACATACATACATGAATTTGCCATGGTTTGGAATCAACTGGACCCCCTCACCTCTTTTAAAGGCCTATTATGTCTGAGAAAATGTCAAAAAGCATTGAAAGGCTAATTCTGGCTATTATTAGATTTAAATTTAAAGTTAAATGTTCTCATTTTCAAGAATAGAGATTAATTTTGTAGCTACATAATTTAAGAACGACTAAGAATTCCACTAAAAATCAAAGCAACTGCAAAACCTTTATTTCAAAGGATTCCCAGTCAGGGCAGTCCTGGGGACATAGAAGAAGTTGGGGAGGGGACGCTGGAGAGAAGGGAGAAAGAGAGGAATGGGGGTGGGTGGGCAGCAGGATGGAAAATTAGGGTGCTGAGACAAAGGGGTTGAGAGGAAGAGAGCTTACCTGAGCCTGGAAGATCTGCTGGTAGACTTTCCCATTCTGAACCTGGGTCACTCTCCCCACTGGAGACATCTCAGCGGGCCGGCTCCTTCGCTCCTGCCTGGAAGCCATTGTCGAGGAAACTCGTCTGGAGTTTGGTTTCCATTGCAACCTTGAATGTTGCAGAAACATCTCTTCCCACCCAAGGCAATTCCAAGGAGGAAGAAGAAGGCAGCCTAGGAGGCTGTCTAAAGGGGCCACACGCAGACTCCTTTGACCAGGGAAGAAAGCTTCTGATCTCCTTCCTCCCACCCTCATTGAGGGCAGGTTTCAAACAAATGTCAAGAAGGGAGGGAGTGAGGGCTAAGTGAAAAACCAACCTTGAACTATTCGGGAACTCGCGCAGAAGGCCCGCTCACTCCTGTGCACAATGCACAGATCCCAAGCAGGCTGAATTGTGTGGTGCTTCACTCGCAAGAACTGCTGGAGAAAATCAACAGCCGGATCAGATGGATGTCCGATCTGACGCAGAACCCAGAGCAGGGACCCCTGGGCACCAGTCGGGGGGGGGGGGGGGGGGGGCCGGGGGCGTGGAGGAGAAAGGAAGCAAGCAGAGTTGGGTGACGCTCATTAGGAGCCAAGTATATGTAGAAAATACCCAGCCAACAGGAGGCCACAACTTCTGACCTTCTTTCTGCAGTCCACGCTCCCTCCAACAGCTAAGGCAGCCCTGGATATCCAAAGGGAAACTGAGTCTGGAAGCCTCCCTCCCTATGGAACTGAAAGGAGGGTCGGCACCGGCAGGCGATCTGGCCTGGAACACACCTTCCCGAAAAAGCCTTCAGGTCGAGCCACTACCGCCCTTGGGAGCTTTCCTGTCGTCTCCATGACAACGTGGAGGGACGCGTCTGCGTCCTGGAAGCCTGATTGCTCTCGGCCGCTGGCCGCTAGGGCGCTGCAGCCCCTTCTCTCCAAACTGCTCTGCAGTCAGAGATGATAACACACACACACACACACACACACACACACACACACACACACACACGTGGGCAAGGGGAAGAAAACAAACGATCCAAGGAAACAATCACAAATTAAAACACAGTCTTAGACCCTAGATGTCTAAACACACCAATTAGATGTGATCTAAACACACCAATTAGAAGATCATGGGAAGAGTAGATTAAAGAACATGGATCCTGGAGCGTGTTTCACTGCTGACCTAAAGGCCAGTTGTCTTGGAGACGACACAAAAGCTGCCTTTGGCAGTGATGGCTCAACCTGCCAATGGTAGACCTGAGGGCCCTGAAGGAGAAAGATGCGTAGTCAGTCTTCAGCCTCAGCTCTAAGCTTTACAGCCTCTGAAATCCGTGGAGAGACACTACAAATCACACCCCTGCAGTTGAGTTTAATTTGAGCTTTGATCTTTTGAAAGAGTTTCCCGATAAATAGTGTTGTTATATAAAAAAAGAGTTGAGAGACAGAGAAATAAAGAAGCTGATACCAAGAAACCAACTGGCCTTTAATTAGATTGTTAGGTTAAAAGAAAAGGATTACTTTAGTATACATTCATCAAAAGAAATCAGTAGTGGGAGAGGCAAAGGAATTAAGAAAAGATCCAGTCACCGATGATCTGAAAAGATGAGGTAATAGTGGATGTAGATTAACTTAACAGTGATCAATTTTTTAAGACATAATGTAAGACATAATAGGAATTATCATATGGAACAATGTGAATGAAAGAATGTGTGAAATACAAGGCATATTGAAGGGGGAAAATGTTTTTAAAAAGTAAAACCACAGGAAGAAGAAATTATTAGATGAAAATACAAATAATAAAATTAAAACAGGATAAAAGAAAGCCATAGTGACTACATTATTATCCAATAAAGTATACTTAGTAAAGAGTGAAAAAAATATAAGGCCGCAGACAGAGAAAGAAATTACATAATGATAAAAGGCACCATCTAGCAAGAAGCCAGAGAAGTCCTAACTCTATACTATTAAACAACTAAAAAACCAATCTCACAGCCTTCAATTCTGACTCAGAGAACTGTTGGACAAAGAATAGGCTGTAAAGCTTAATAGAATCAGTGTCATCTTTCATCTTGGAGGAAAGCCGATGGGTTTGAATTGTAGAACTTTTGGTTAGCAGCCCTTGTTTCACCAGGACTACTTGTATCAAATTAATAGAACTGCAAATTTAAGGAGTGATGACTGACAGAACTGAAAGAAGAAATAAACACATAAGCATCCAAAGTGGGAAATTTCCCCTCCTCCCCTCAACAATTGATAGAACACCACAACAGATAATCAGAAAACAAAGAGTCCCACCACTGGGTCTATTGGTAGCATCATGATAGATGGTAAAGAGATTGAGATTGTTAACAGCCTCAGTTTGCTTGGCTCCACATTCAACACTCTTGGTACCAGCAGCCAGGAAATCAAAAGACAAATTGTATTGAGAAAGTCTGCTGTCAGGGGCCTCTCCAGAGTATTGAAGAGCAACGATGTCAGTGTGGAAAATAAGGTGCACTCGATCCAGGCCATGGTCTTTGCAATTATGTGCTATGTGTCAGAAATCTGGACAATGACTGGGAATGACAAAAGGAAAATTTATGCCTTTGAGCTGTGGTGCTGGAAAAGAGTATTGACTATACCATGGATGAACAGAAGAACAAACAGGTTCGTCCTGGAGAGGGTGAGACCAGGCTGCTCCTTGGAGGCAAGGACTCTAAAGCTCCATCTGACATACTTTGGGTATGTTGCAATGCGCGACCAGTCCTTGGAGAAGGACATCATGCTTGGGAGGGTGGAGGAACAGTGCAAGAGAGGAAGACCCTAGATGACATACATTGACTCTATGACTGGGGTAATCAGAGTAGGTGTGTCAGAGACGATTAGGTTGGCTCAGGATGGAGCAGGGTTTAGGACTGTTGTACATAGGGTAACTGTGAGTCACAGGCAGCTCAATGGCACATAACTATTACAACACAACAAAAACAGCATCAACTGAGAGGATCTAGAACACCCCACCACAGTGGTAGAATGCATATTCTTTTCAAGCACCCACAGAACATTTTTAAGAAAGAATATATCCTGGTTGATAGAACCAACCTCAACAAACTCATGAAAATGAAAATATACAGTGTATTCTCTGACTGCAATGGAATCAAACTAGAACATAATAGCAATAAAAAGAAATAAGCAAATCTCCAAACATGAGAAAACCAAGCACATCACTCCCAAATAAACATGGTTCAAAGGGGAACTCTCGAAGGGAATTGAAAATGGTTCTATGAGAATTCCAGAAACTGACCTGGAAAAACTTCCATGAGTTCCTAGTGGAAATCTGAGGAACAGAAGCAGAAAATGTTTCTACAGGGCAGGCAGTCATCTTCCTGTGTTAGGTCCTTGTAAGGATATTTTGAAGACCTTGCACATCAGAGCTTTTGGTTTTGCCCTGTGATGATCCCTCCATTCTCTAAATCCCTACAGCTCTGATGAACTGTCTCAGCTCCTTGTTGAGAGAAGGGCCCTGACACTGGCAAGTCCATTGGAAAAAGTGGACTTAAGTGCTTACTTCAGAAAGCCAGATAAGACTTCTTCCTCCCGCTCTAGAAAATAAGCTGATGTCCCTGCAAAGCCTTCTTCTCATTTCAGTGAGGAATGTGAACATCTGTAACTCCTTTGGGAGCTCTGATGGCCTAGGCTATAGGGAACTGAGCTTCGGATGACCCTTTGGTGGTCAAAATTCACCAGCAGTTCTGAGGAAGAAAGCTGGACATCTCCTCTCAGAAAACCTAATGGAATGGAGGGTCAGCTGAGTTGTTTCCAACTCCATGGCCATCAGAGAGAGAGAAAGAATCTCATTTAAAACGTGAAATGTACCTAAGAGAAGAGGGGATAAATAATGTATACTGCATTGAAACAGAGGAGGGAGAGAATTGTTTAAAAGGAATATACAATTAGGTATTATTTTCATGACAAGATTCCAGAAAAAGAAATGCGTAGTAAAGTGGGCTATAGAATTGTGGGGGGTGGGTAGAGATGGGATAATTGTATAACAATGAAAGAAGATTTTTCTTATTTTCAAAGGGAAAAGCCAACTGGGGGAGAGGGATGGGCAGGGAGGAAAATGTGCAACAATGAATGACTGGGGGAAAAATTAAATGGGAAGAATATGCTGTAAAAAAATGTTACATTAAAAAATCAAGGGGAAAAGACCCATAGTAAATGGGAATGATTGTATGAAATACAATGTGAATAAATGATGGTGTGAAAGACAATGTATATAAACTTTGTAAGCAAACCAATATAAAATAAAAATGAATGAAAAAAATTCCAATCAACAATAACAAAAATCATTGGGGAAAAAAACAACAAACATGAAATGTAAGAACCAAATTATAATTCCAAGGTTACTGTAGAAACAGGATTTTCATATTCAAGATTTTAGTTGTTGTTATATGCCGTTGAGTTGGAGTTGATTGATTGCTGACCCTCCAGTAGGTTTTCAGAGGCTTTAAGTCTCACAGGAAGAGATTGCCATCTTTCTTCAGTGGGAACAGTTGGGAATTGAACCTCATTCCTTTGGGTTGGCAGCACAACTCCTTACTACTATGCCACCAGAGACCCCTATTTAAGATTAATATTTACTATTTTCAACAAATAAATATTGTCCCTCTTCAAAGTACTGAAGAGCAACTAAATCAGTCTGGAGACTAAGATGTGCCTGATACAGGCCATGGTCTGGTCTTTGCAATTACTTGCTATGCATCAGAGAGCTGGACAATGACTAGAGATGATAGAAGGAGAGTTGGCTGGAGAAGAGTATTGAATATACCATGGACTGCTAGAACAAACAAGTTCTTTCTGGAGAGGGGGAAGTCAGGCTGCTCCTTAGAGGCAAGGATTCTGAAGCTTCATATGGTATACTTTGGACATGATACAAGGTGGGATCAGTCCTTGGAGAAGGATGCCATGCTTTGGGAGGGTGGAGGGACGGCGCAGGAGAGGAAAACCCTTGATGAGATGGATTGATTCAGTCAATGTGGTAAAGGGGATAGGTGTGTCCAAGACAGTAAGATTGGCAAGGGATAGAGCACGGTTTAGGGTTGTTATACAAAGGGTCA